ACGTTGAGTATTGCGTCGTACTCAATCGCCGTGGTAGGGTCCTTTGAGAGTGGTAGTTTGACCACAAAGTCCCATATAATGGACTTCCATGGCTGAGAAGGCATGTCTGGGGTCTGGAGCTGACCATACGGAGCGTGTCTAGAGGACTTATTCCGTATGCAGGTATCGCAATTTCCAACAACTTCTTCAACTATCGTTCTCATTCGTGGGAAGTAACTGATTTCCCGTAATCTTGCGAATGTTCTCGCGATTCCCTGATGTCCATGTGCCGGCAACCCGTGTTGTTCCGTCACGAATTCCTTAGTCATTCGACTAGGAATGTATACTTTTCCGTGGAAGTATATGATCTCGTTTTCTATCGTGAATCCTGGTTCTATTGTCTTGCGTATGCGTATAGCTGTAGCATCCTTGTCGTAATGTGATTGGATTTGACTCCTGAGATGGTTGTCTTCCAATATATGAGTAGCTGCAAGCTGTGGTGCATTGTAAACCAGTGATTCGCCTTCTTTCTTGAATATAGCGTACGATTCGTACGACTTATTTTCTTGATATTCTGGTTTTCGGCTAAGAGCGTCGGCTCTAGCGTTTTCTGATCCTTTGACATATGAAATCTTAAAATTGTAGTTGGCCATGGTTTCCGACCATCTGACCTGTCGTCTGTTTAACTGCTTCGTTGTGGTGAAGTAAACCAAGTTCTTATGATCCGTATACACCTGTACTGTGTATTTTGATCCTTCCAAATATACTCGCCATTCTCTAAATGCGTCGACTATCGCCAGTAATTCTTTGTCATATATTTCGTAGTTCAATTCGGCTGGTGATAGCTTTCGAGAGTAGAATGCGATTGGTTGCTATTTCTCATTTTGACCTGGTTGGCTCAACACTGCGCCTATAGCAAAATCTGAGGAGTCCGTTTCCACTATGATTTGCTTATCAGGATCGAATGTCAACAGTATTGGCTCCTCGGCCACTGCCTGTTTGAGCGTTTCGAAGGACTCCTGCGCCTTGGCGGTCCATTCGAAGCTTCCTTGATCTTTTCTGGTTAACGTGGTCAAGGGTGTAGTAATTCCTGAATAACCCTTGATAAATCTTCGGTAGAAGTTGACAAATCCCAAAAAGGATTGTACTTCCTTAATGGTGTTTGGCTGCTTCCATTCAAGCACTGCCTTGACCTTATCCTTGCTCATTTTGAGCCCTTGGCTTGATACGGTGAATCCTAGGAACTCTGTTTCCGTAACGTGGAATTCACATTTGCTTGGTTTACACAGCAAATCGGCTTTAGCTAAGCTTTCAAGAATGTTGCTGACATCTTTGATGTGTTGGACCTCGTTGTTTGAATATACTAGGATGTCGTCCAAGTAGCATATACAATAGGTGTCCAAGTATTGCGACAGCACATTGTTCATAAGTCTCATGAAAGTAGCTGGTGCGTTCGTTAGCCCGAATGGCATAACTTGATATTCGTATAGCCCGTATCTTGTCTTAAAAGCGGTTTTCCATTCCTCGCCTTTCTTCATTCTAATCAAGTGGTACCCGTTTCGTAGGTCCATCTTGGTGAATATTGTTGCTCCGCCTAACCGATCTCTTAATTCCGTAGCTAATGGAAGTGGATATCGATCTTTCTTTGTAAGCGTGTTGAGCTTTCTGTAGTCCACAACTAGTCTCTTAGTACCATCTTTCTTAGGTACCCACATAGTTGGACTTGCCACTTGGGACGTGGATTCTCTGATCCATCCCTTGGCCAAATTGTCGTCGATATATTCTTTGAGCGTCTTTAGCTCATCGGCTGACATTGAATAAATTGGGGTGTGCACAGGCATCTTGCCTTCCTCCAATATTATTTCATGATCCCATGGCTTGTGGTCTGGCAAAGCCTCATGGATCCCTGGTTCCTTGAACACATGTTCGTATTTCTTGTACTGTTCTGGTATCATAGGCTCTTCTGCCTTGATTGCGATTTCCTGCCGTGTCGTTGGCTTCTGCATTTGTAGAGGAGGTGTACTGGCCTTCGCTCTTAATGGAGGACCCTGGACTGGGTGTCCTACGTCACCGAAGTTGTTCGCGTTCAACTCCCCTTGGCGCGTGTTACGTCTCGCGGACGCCTCTAGCGTGTCTCCTTGACCGCATTTGCACTGATCAAAGGTCACTGTCTCTTGTGACCAATCTATCTTAGGATTGTGTGCCTTCAACCATGGCATCCCTAAGATGATCTGTTGTTGGCCCAATGGCACAACGTCAAGCTGTATAACCTCTGAATGTTGGGTTATGTTCATTTGTACTGGTCGTGTCTCCTGTGAAACGTTCCCGTCAGATCCTGCTAGTTGTCCGTCAACTAACTGCAATTGGTAGGGTTTTTGTTTCTTCTGGAGTGGAACTCCCAAGTACTTTGCAGCTTCTGGTGCAATAAAGTTTCCTGTAGCCCCTGAATCTATCATGGCTTGCTGTATTTGTCCGTTTATTTTGACCTTGCAGTATATCTGTCCTGCTTGTCCTGTAGCATTCAATTGCTGGGTAACTTGTTTTTTGTCTGTTTCGTTGGATTGTTGGTTTCTTGTCTTTCTTTTCTTGGGGAACCATCCGGTTGCTTCTTTATCTGATCGATGGATTCCGCAGAATTCATCATAGCAAGCAGTCCAGCTCATCATCGCGTGATCTGCTGGTATCTCTTCCTTAATACATTCTTCCGTTACCGATGGTGATGGGGTTCGGTAGTACTCCTGTTCCCACAAGTCTACTGCATTCATACCCTCTTGGTTTCGCGGTAACTCGTCCAATAATTTCCGGAATTCTTCACTGGTGAAGGTCTCAGTTTCTTCGGTCTTAGCTGGATGTTCCTGGGATACAAAGGTAGCGTTAAGTTGGCCTTTGCCGAACTTGGGTTTGAAGTTGCCTTTCTTTCCTCCTGTCTTCTTACTTCGGCAATCCGCTGCCCGGTGCCCTGCTTTTCCACATTCAAAGCATAAGTTGTTTTCTCGCCTTCGTCTTTTCTCTGGGTCATCATTCCCGTTTCTATGGTGCGTAGCGTCTAGTTCCATAGGGTCCCCGTAACTCTGTGTACTGTAACGTGGTCTACCCTCATTCTTGCGGTAGCGCCCTTGCCTATGATTTGTCTGAGGCTTGTATGATCGTTGGGTTTGTTTGTACCTGTATAGGCGGTCATCGGCATCGATGGAGCTTTTGGTTAGTCCGTTCAAGTCATCGTCCTCCCCTTCCCTATCAAGTTCCAAACGTACTTCTGGTTTGAGTCCTTTACGGTAATGACTCATGATGGCGACCTTGTCCCATTTAGTTGTCCCCGCATATCTTCGGAACTCCGTAGCATACTTCAATGCCGATCCTGTCTGCTTGAGGTTGAAGATCTTATCTTCCGCTACCTCTAGCTCATTGGAGTTCCCGAAGATTCTACGAATCTCTGTCTTAAATCCTTCAAAACTGTTGAAGATTGTTCGAGTGGGTTGCATGCGATCCTGGTCGTCATGCTCGAAATAGTCTCGTAAATATGGTTGAATCCACTTGCTTGCTTCTCCTCTGAGATATGATACAGCCCATACACTCTTGGATTCCTTTTTGGTGAACTTGTCTTCGTTGAATCTGAAGTAGATTTCAAGTTGTAAGAGGAAGGTGTCGAGTTCCTGTCGACTTCCTTGGTATTTGTCTGGTAAGGCAATCTTGAGTGTTTCGTTGATGGTAATTTCCTTGGGAGCGTCGGTCATCTCGACATCGTCGGTGTCGGGTGCTTGTGCCTGACTGCTCGCGGATGTATTGGTGGGTGCCATATCGTCGGTTGGTATTGAATTGGTACTTGAAGCAGAAATGGTGCTCAAAGTGTTACGGGAGCTACCTCTAGGGTCACATGGAAGTGTCTAGAGATCTCTCGAGGTGGTTTAGACTAAACTTCAAGTAGGAATTCAATAAGGTTGTAACTGGTTGCAATTCTCGTAACTATAGTATGAAACTAATGATTGATCTTGAGCACGAAGCTCTACATTGTAATGAAACCCATTCTTTATATAGACCTTCGTTCCTTGTTGTCCCATTGATCCCATCGTGTCCCACCAGGTGGGAGCAGTGGGATCCAGTGGGAATCTCTAATCCCGTGACTTTCTGATCAGGTGACTCGGTATGTTAGATGTCGTCGTAACATAGAGCTTAAATTGAATTAAAAAAGAATGTAAGAAATTATATTAGATTATTTTAATATAAAATGAAGTTGATAATTTTGAGTTACAAAATATTAATACCTTGATACCTTATTATTTTTATACCAAAATCTTATTTATATTAGATTTGATTAATTAATTTTTTTATTCCGGTATAGTCAAGTTCTACTGTAATAATAATTGTTTCTGAAAGTTGTATTCCGAGAACGTATTAAACTCTTAAAATACAAAATATATTAATTAATATTCTATAATTATGTTGTTGGTATTATAAAGATGATAGGATTACTATTATTTGTATTATTATTATTTATGTTCAAGAATAATTTTATTGTATGTACTGTACGGTAATAAGGAATATCTAAATTGGGAATGATACTCTCGGCTGATGTTGTGCTGGGACGTGGAGGATTGGGCATCCCGTCCGCTCTGCTATACACAAGCTTCAGATCGGTGGATTAGCAGTTGGGTGGGTGACCACCAGCAAATCTCCACTATTGCACGTTTCTTTTTGCATTTTTGACGTCTGAGGAAGGGCATCTCTTTTGCGGTTCTTGGTTCCAAGGTTGCTTTAGATGACCATTTCGAAACATACAAAGCCGGTGAACCAACAATTTGTCTTGGCATTGAGAGAGTCTTCCAGCATTTGTATTTTTGTTTCGGTTATCCTCGACGTTGATATCCTGAAGGCCAAGATGGCATCGGAAAGTTTTTAATATTGGTCTTTGGCAAGCATTTGCTTCATCCCAATAACCCACTGATTTATCACCGGCAATCAAGATCCACCCATTGTGCAGCCCATGTCTCATCAAGTATTCCTGCTTCTTGATACAGATCTCATTAGTATGGTTTCCCATACCATGGATCTCCCCATCTATCTGTATTCTTGCCCGAGTTACTGTGGATGGCTCTCAAAGGCAGACTGGGAATGTACCATGTTCGAGGATCTTTGCCTAGCCTATGCTTTGGTCTAGTGTCCTGGAGTCCTGGAGATTCTAGTACAAGGGCATGTTGTGCTTGTAGATATCGAGACTGCGACGATGAGTAGGAAATATTGGAGTATCGAAGAAGTCCAAGGGGAAAGATGAATGGTATATTTGTTGTAGCTGTGCATGTTGTTAACGTCCAGCAATGATTGTATTCGATGGTTATTCTTGTGACTGGGGCCTCCATGCAAACGATGTGAACAGCTTATGAAACTATTTGTGACGAAATTGGTCTTTTTGTGCATCAAAGTCCGAAGTTGCCGGAATCCACTGTGGTGAATTGTGCTTTGTTATCTGTTCGGGTCTTCAAAACTGGGTGAATACACAACTCTGCTGATAACAAACCCATGAGTGATCAGGACTGATGAAGAGAACAAAAGATTACTCTCTAGGAAAGCTTTCACCATTCAATACCTAGTGACATCTTGAAATTCGGCAGAGGAAGAGGAAGTGAACGTTTGCATCAAAAGCACAGAATGAAGTCCTAGTACAAGCATTAGTGCACTGGTCACTAGGCACCCCCTATCTCGAAACCAAAATAGCTTTTAGAGAATTGAACGTAGCAGACGTTGGAGGGAAGAGAATTCGCGAAGGCCGCCTTGAGCAAGAGCATGTCCCTCTCACTGAAACTTTCAAATTGTGTTGTTGGATTTCCCGAGTCGACTCAGATTTCCGAATTTATCCCAATGCCAAACATTATCTTCGATGTCGCCGACAGGAATAATACTTCCGCATCTTCGTGCTTCCAAATTTGGTGCTGGTGGTGTTGTTGTCGTCGAACAAACAGAAGTTGCGGGGAAATTCCCAGCCACCAAAACCAAAGCCACTCGTGCCACTTCACTTCACTGCAGGTGACTCCCGAGGTTCCCATTCACCACCGCTTGATCTGACAACTCACTCACACCACTCCTCACACAACACAACGCAACACAACGCAACACTCTCACCACATTAAATCATGCGGCATCGCAAATAGCGGGAACTGGTTATTCTTCAACTTCGACCATCCAAGGCAATTGAGCTTGGCAAGCATTGGCAAACATAGAAATCGATGGAACAATCGTTGGAATACGAGGAGATCGGCAGTCCGTACGGTACTTAGTATCTATTTATAAATACACCCGCATCTGACGTAGTCAACAGAGTATGGATCCCGGTGTATCCCTCACTGCCTCCAATTCTCTCGTACTCGCCTTAACCACGAGTGAGACTTACGTTATGTAAATAGATTACTCCAAAGTGATGGAAATGCGGAGGAATAAGCATCAGATTGAGGCGTCCGGAAGATGCACAGGATACCGCTTCGATGCCAAGATCTTCGTACCCGCACAGCCTTGCATATAGCGTGCATATACCGCTGTTCTTCTCGTATTTCTGAGAGGAGACTCTGCTGATGTGGTTGTGAATAGTGTTAATAGATATCATCTGATTGAGGTGCAATGGAGTGTCTCTCGTAATTGTCTATGCCGACAATGCAGTCCTGGTAGATACCCCGCTATCACGAGTTTCGATGGGTAGGCGGAGGCGAGATATACGGAAAATTATCTGGTGGATTATTGGGGCGAAGATGAGGCTGGCGTGAGGGGCTTTGAGGGGTAGAAGATATATAAGACATGATGTGCGCTGTGGTGGAAGATCATTATCAGCATCAACATCTACAGCATTACTTCAGAGTATCACAGATATCCCCAAGAACTTCTACCTTACAAACAAACAATCTTCCTCACCTCAACCACACAAATTCAAAATGCAATTCCCAACTCTCGCTACTCTCCTCACCTTTGCCGTCAGCGCAACCGCCATCACCGTCTCCTACGACGTCGGCTACGACGATGCCAGCCGTTCCCTCGCCGTAGTTTCCTGCTCCGACGGAAGCAACGGACTCCTCACCAAGGGCTACTCTACCCAAGGTTCCCTCAGGAACTACCCCAACATTGGTGGTGCATCCACCATCGCCGGCTGGAACGATGCAAACTGTGGCAACTGCTACCAATTGAGCTATGGAGGAAGAAGCATCAATGTCCTTGCCATTGATCACGCTGCTGCGGGTTTCAACATTGGTCAACAAGCTCTTAATACTTTGACCGGGGGACAGGCAGTTGCTCTCGGAAGAATCGATGCTACTTACACTCAAGTCGATAGAAGTGCTTGTGGATTGTAGATGGTTGATGGATCCTAGAATGCATGCATGGGGATGGGAAATGGAAGATTGGAATAAGGGGTGGTGAAGATGGAGATGGAGATGGTGATCGCATTGGATATGGGAGTAATGGTGTTTATGACGATTAACGAGTATGGTTACGAATATTTTAAAGTAGAGAAATAATGATAATGCAAATTGTGCTACTTAAAAGTTTGCTCCCTCGCGCATTGTGAATGTGATGTACTTCTAAGGATATTCCCCCTTTGGTGCGAGCTATGGAAGCTCGGAATTTCCGGGAAATTAAAGCTTCTGTAGCATGCTGATCAGATGTTGGTTATATCTTACCTTTCATCGATTTCTTTCACATAGACGCGGGCATCTTCTCATGTACATGTAAATGTATCTACATATGATTGGAGTCTATACTAATTATTCCATAATCTAAATGCTATATCTAATGGCGTAATATCTATGGTCCCAAACTCCAACCCAAAACGCCGTCCTATACCCAAATTCTCATGCCAGATTTAGTATCCCTTCAATAAATCAAATCGTACATCATCAGATCTCATCAGATCTCATCTCAACTCATATCCACGTCAATCATCCAATCCCCTCAAGAAACCCTCTTCACAACCGGAATCTTCCCACCCCAAACCTGCCTATGGAAACCCAAGAACACCCTCAACTGTTCTTCAAAATTTCCCATGTATTCCGTATGAGAATACCTACACCTAATTTCCTGCAATCCGTCTAATCTCAACAACCCTCCATAATTCAATTGCTCCCAGCTCTCCGCTCCTCCCTGTCCCTCGTACTCCTCCGCCACTTCCTTACACCTCAATCTTTCCTGGAACTTAAGATGTACATACATCGTATTCTCCCAATCCAAGCCTTCTAACTGCACCATAGTGACTCGCCCCAAAATCCTCCTATCCACCGAATTTAAAAATGCCATCCACTCGACGAAGCGTTTTCGGCCTTTGAAATTCTCCCCGCATAGATCCCCAGCGTGAAAGGAAATGGTGTCAATGAGGGGATTGATACAAATAGGCTGTCTCATGCTTTTGCTGAGGAGAATCCCGCAATTGCCACCGGATCTCCCACGGGATCCGAGAAATTCCGAACGGTAAATGAGAGTGTAGTATAAAAGTGTCTCGGAACGTGATTCGGAGCAGATGGAGAGGGTGATGGGGGGTGGGCAAGAGTGAGCTTGGAGGGGAGTGATGTTGTAGGAGAGGAAGACGGTTCGGGAGGAGGGGAAGAGGGAACGCCAGATTTTGCGTTGAAGTTCCAAGGGGAGGAGAGTGAATTGATGAAATTTCCAAGTGGGTGACGTTGGCTTTTCTGATTTTTTTGAAGCCCTCGATGGGAACCATCCTCTTGGTATCGTGATTGCCTTCGTAATTGACATGGTGACTGATTTTCTCCTTTCCTTGTTAAACATATGGTCGGAATAGTTGGATTTCTCCTGTTATCCAAATTCTGTTATAGTAAATTGAAATCGGAATAGAATCAAAAGAATGTTCAAGTTAGTATAGGTAATGAAAGCAACAAGAATTCCAAACAAGGAAATATGCCCCTGAGAAATTTCCTCCGCAAAATTATCTGAAGTCTCCTAATTGAACTCGAGTCATGGAGGATTTTGCTGACGTCTTTGCGCAATGAATCAGGTTGAGAAGCTAGAAAATTCTAGGTTTTCTTAGTGTTTCCAGCCTTATGTGATGAAACCAAAGTTAAACTTTTCTCTAGGGACGTTGGAAAATTTACCCGATAAACATTGACGATAAAGAAACATAAAAAGGATATACACTCCAGGAGGAAGGAAGTGATATGAAGGATTAAAGCAAAGCGAAATAGCATTCTACGTATGAGAGAGATACATGTGGAAGGATATCTTCTTCACCGCCGTCGTGCGTCTTATACAAACAAGCATATACCTACTCACCGCGCATTCCCACTTGAGATGAGAATTGAAGTTTCGAAAACGAACAATTATTTCGACGTGAAATTCTGAATCTTTCTTTCTGTGATAAAAGAGAATGGAACTCACAAGATTCCTCCTGGCGACAGTGAGGTGTTGATCCTACACTTTGTCAATGAACATTGAATTCAGATGTTTTCATCCCATTTTTTTCGACCGACACTAGAGATGCATCGTATGTATGCGAATCAGAGTCAATCACGTGATACGATTGACTTGGACTGAGTGTTTCCTTCTCAGGGATATCATCATCAAATCAGATACGCAACAAGGATGAAGATAAAGGGAATCACGTGAAAATAATGTGAAAGTCATGTGAGAGTCGTGTGCCATGTCGAGCTGTGCAGGGACATGGTATCAATCCAATAACCCATTCTCAACCCAATCCATTCAACATCACGGCACGGCAACAGACAACAGACAGAAAGGGGTGCTTCTCGACCTTTACATGTTTCAACGAGATAATACAGCTTGAATGAGAATGGGAAGCATTCGGAATCTTGTCTCTTCATCAACATGTCGCTTTACATATTACTACCGACCCAAGCGGGAATGCATTTCTCAATACGATCCACCACGGCATAAAAATTGAATGAAGAAAACACGGAAAATCCAGACTTAAACTCTCTCGTTCGGTGTAGCCGCCCTAACCCTGAGTTACGGCACAGTACAGCTTACTTCTACTTTTGTTTAGAACTTAAGATCGTTTTACTCCACGCGCTCTCGACGACAGGAACGAACTTTTAATATAAAATCCTTCGAAGATGACGAGTTCAATAGATCATTCGTTACCTTTGACTTCCAGCCAGATCGTTCCAGCTAATCGGTTTATCTAAATCTGGTTAGGATTGCGAATAAGATTGGATCTGCTAGGATAGTCAATCTACACGATCGGTTCATCAAGCCCTATGAAAGTAGTTCTTCGTTATGTGATAGGTTGGGTAGTGCGCTATCAAAGGCTTCAAAGGCTTCAAAGCTCAAAGCTCACGATGGTACCTGGAGATCCACCATAATATATGACAGTTGTACGGAGTTGGTATCTTTCAAGCGCAGTCACTGGATACATCGGACGGGAAGGTAGTGATTACTATTCACGAATGAGTGCCCTCATACAATGTTCCGTCCCTGGCTCTCTACATCGCTGGAGCCATTGGCTCTATTCAGCCGCATCCATGAGAAGATGGGTGTTCTCCCACGGTTCTAACCTTGATATGATTATTCGAACTTCTATTCTGGCCTCTCATTGGTTGGTTTTAATCTTTCATAGTTCACCATGCAGGACCCAATCATTCATCCGATCTCCAAGAAGAGACTAGGTCCGGAGAATTGCCTCGGTTTCGGAAGATGACAAGTGGGTCTGTCGTCGATTTCATCTGAAGCTATTCCCATTTCATGGATACATGTTAAAATCTAAGTGGATATTTACAGATGACAGCTCTCCACAAACCATGTCCCTTGATCTTTGGTATCCAATGTACCTCAACAGCACGAGCCACAATACATTCACACCACACCCAGTCATACTTAAATAACATTATCAAATCTTCCTTTGGACCCATTTGCAAAAGGTTCTAGAGGGAAAATAAGACGATATTTGCTGGCAGCCACAAGTATCGTGCCCCAATGATTTATACGATCAATTTTAAAAGTAGATCCTCGCCAAATCTATCCATTCGTGGAGGTACAAGGTTAGGCAACTCTCCGATTGACCAGAATGTCCTTGTCTCATGGTGGCAATTTTCAACAAAAATGGTTGAATGAAACGAGGCTTCATCGATCATATACCATTGATATTGTTTTAAGGATAGAATTTTGAAATTAGTATCTACATGAAATTTGCATTTTACTTCAATGAACCCCAGAACTTGTACTCCCACCTGTTCTTGACTCTCTTTAATTATACTCTTTAACTTTCAAATATACATAACTTTCTATCGTTACACATTATTCTATTGTGCTTAGGTTAGCTTAAAGCTCGGTTGGCAGTGTCATATTCGATGTATTGGTGTTACGAAGTCAACGACTTGCAAAAACCTGGTCATTGGATTTGAAACTGCCCGGATGATATGAGCTGTGCAAATCTCGTCGTGGAGGCATGGACATCTTGGGCCATAGCCGTCGTGTTCATTGCAGTGAGAATCTCTGCACGAGTCTCGAATCTAGGATGGAGACAACTAAAGTTGGATGATGGTTTAATGTTTGCCGCTTTGGTTCGTAGCACTTTGATGCAGTTTGGTTGGGATATAATTCTGACGTGCAGTGACAGTTCGCATATACAGCTGAAGCAACCTCATCATACTACCTCGTGGCTCGCTGGTTAGGCTATTCGAATAGTGGAATGACTGAATTGGAGCGTCAGACTCTTGATCCTCATTCTCTAGAATGGTTGTATCGAGTCAATGGGGCCAAAACTCATATTTGGAATTGGGTAACCTATATTTCGTTGATGTGGTTACTAAAAGCTTGTTGGATCACCTACTACGCTCGTTTGATGTAAGGGTACCTCTTCATCTCGGTATTGTATAGCGACTAACATTGAATTATAGTTCAGCTGCTCAAAAAAGGTCATTGAGACGTATCACTGTAGGATATGTGGTGTTGGGTGTTACATATCTATCAGCTATTCTGGTAGTTTTTTGTAAATGCATGCCAGTGAAGAAGCAATGGCAAATTTATCCAGATCCAGGAAGTGAGTAACTGACATCAAACTTGTTTGAAGGATCTCTCTGATGACAAACCACAGATTCATGTTATTCTGGCCATTCTGTCTTTCAAATGGCTTTCATCATGTCTATTAATACAGTAACACATATGTATATCATGATTATACCTCTTCCCGTACGTCAAAACAACCTAGCCTTACACCATTCCTCTGGAACCATAGCTGACACGTTACAGACAATCCTTGGTACCAAGGGCATGTTATCATATCAAAAGATATTCCTTCTCGTTCTTTACAGTGGAGGATTTCTCGTCACCGTCTTCGGAATCCTACGTGGTGTTTCTATCTTGACCGTAAGTCCTGGCTCCGACGTAACTTTCCCATTCTCGTTTCACCAACCTTCTTCCCCTCCCAAATCTATCCGAAGACTAATCCACCTCGAGACCTTAGGCACAGCCACATCTAGCGGACAATGGTCTCTTCGCGAATCATTTCTCGCAGTTCTAGTAACCAATCTTCCAATCCTCGCTCCAGTCATCAAATGCTTCTCCCAACAAGTCCGTGATCAATCCACGAAAATCTCATCACATACAGGAAGTTCGCCTTTTCGCGAGGAGGAGGTCGAAATGGGCGAATTGAAATTGAATCACGAAAGATCCCGATCGAGAGGGAGAAAACAATCTTTAGTACCCAGGATCAAAGAGATTGGAACTGGGGAATGGGATGATGATGAGATTGTTATGGTTCCCAAAGCTACACTCGGGGGATCTTACATGGGCTGTAGAAGTCCGGCGCCGAGTGAGGATGAGAAGGGAAATTATTTCCAGTCTCGTTCGCACACGTCTACTCCTAATGGCGACGCGAGCTCGAAAGAAGAATTACAACAGCGATTGGACTTAGTACCGAAGAAGGAAAAGAGTAATATGAGAACGACGATTCAAGCGGGCTATGGAAATCATAATCGCTGGAATTGGAGTTGGGATGAGAGGAAAGGTGGAGGGGGGGAGGAGGTAGAAGAGGGTCAGATTAGAGTGGTGCAGGAATTTAGATTCACGAATAGTGCGAGCAGTGTATATGGGGGGCCTGTTGCTGGACGATAGGTTGATGGAGGTTGGGAGAGAAGAAAATGGGCGAAGGGAGGGGCTAAGGGGGACCGAAGACGCAATTATATGATACCCAATGTTAGCATTTTTAAATTTTATCTCGCATCATATTTATTATATCACACTGCATCTCATCTTCATACGTTCAAATATGTATTATGTCTCTAAAGTAGTACTCTTAGTAGATTGAATGGGTTTTAACCTGATTTTTCGGATTGGAAATGGGTATACTCGAAATGAGTGACAGAGATGAAGTAGAATGCAAGCGAAGGAGAAAATTTCTCGCCTCCGCTCCCAAACTGCTAAAGTTGCCTTATCTGGGAAGGAGGAGATTTTTTCACGTTGCTACTTCATTTTGTTTTTATTGTTTGATTGTTTGGATCAAAGATAAAAGCTTTATTTCACAATCTGCTGGGTTCCTACCTGGACGACTTTTGCATACTGATCCAGCGAAGTCGAGGTGGCCAAAAAAGCTGATTCTAGTGAATTTGAATGATGGTAGATGATTATGCGATGTTTTAGATGGTATATGAGTTCTAGACATAATGGGAGAGATAGAACCTGTTTAAGTCGAATGCGGAGAAGATATGCAATTTTTGAGAGGGTCCTGAGAGTATGTTGATTTTGGAGGCTTGGTATGAGGACCTCGGAAAAAAGATTCTTTCAAGTGAATGAAAACAGGGTAGATTTATGTGGAAGGGGAGTTTGTTTACCAATAAAATATGAAGCCGTGGAAATGTCTCACATTTCGAGTCAATTGGGAAGACGTACGTTGATCTTGTGGGGGGGTAGAAAGAGTTTTGTATGGGAAATTTGGGAGATCTCGAATATTCATGATATTCTCGAGGATAACATATTCCAAAATTGTTAAAGGCATCAACCATGCGATTCTAGATATAACGGTCCATATACATCGTTTCTTTCGCTGCTGGTATTACGCCGTATCAAGTCCGCTAGGTATATTCTAGCATCTTATCTTAACAACGAAGTGTGAAAATCTGATTCGCAGAAGCTCTATGCTTGGAAAAGTATCTTTACCATAGTTAAAGAAACGGCTTATAGCCTTTCGTCATTTTCTCAAAGATTCTGGAATACAATTGAGCTTTTGATGTCAAATACACATTATTTGAAGCTCTTCATTGATTTCTCTTACAATACTCATCCAGTCATCCCTATCCAGAATACCATTTTCCTTCCATTCTCGAGATTGACCACATAGCTCCGGCTCTTTCAAGATTACCAAGTCTTTAATGGCACTCGGACATAATAGCACAAGGTACTTCAGCTTGTCTCATATCAGACCCAAACCAAAATCACACAAAAATCCCATCTCCGAGGATACTTCCTATTTGGCGCCGTCCTGAGAAAGAGTACTTCAAAGTCCCTTAAACTGTAACAAAAGCCATGTGTCGTAACCAAACACCACGTCACTGGTGCTGTCATACCCCCGGCCGAATTGGCGGCATTGACCCAAACGATCGAATCGTTCCCGATACCCCAACTCCAGCACCAGATTGCAATGGAAATGGTCCATCCTGTCCCTCCTACCGCGAACGCAAGCGCAAATATTTCCAGCAAAAACAATTATGTCCAGATTGCACCAGCAAAATCAATCAATTCCCTCGAGTAAAAAATGAACTCAAAACCTGGAGCAGAAAAATCTTCTACCACAAAGTAACCAGCGAGGCTGTGGATTTCTTGAATGATAAAAGCAGGGATAATGGCGAACAGATATTGACGGATAGTGAAAAGCTTCAAGTCCGGGATAGTGTCGAGAGGCATTTTGATATTGCGATTCAGGAGTCATATTATGCGGAGCTGTTTGCTTTCCAGTTTGAATACTTTAGGAACGATGGACTTCTTGGGGATGTCAAGCGGAGAGTTTTATCAGAGACGGAAAATCGAATTGCGAGGAAGGTCAATTAGTTGAAAGATATCTTGCTCTGGATCAGCTTCGAGAAATTACAACGGACAGTTATTCTGAAGTTGAAGTTCATCCTCTGTCCTATGAAGTTATCTCTCGTGCTTGATCATCTTCAGAGATCGTTTTAAGACTTATTTGATGATATTCTTCATGCCTTTAATTTGATTTGACATTACCGTACAATTTATCTTATATTTCCTATAATCATTAGAACAACCTAGCAAATTTTATTTCTGGATATATCCGTTGATAAACGATATTAAGTGTGTCTGATATCATGCTTTGAACCATAGTAGAATAACCGAGAATCATTTAGCTTTCTACCTCAGTAAGTCGAATCATAGCGTGCGGATATTTTAAGGCATCCGGTATAATTCGAAGCCTTTCCTACACATATTCCCCCCCCTAGGATGAAACTCCAATCCGCCAGCAATAAGCCATAAGCGGCTACATGTCATGCCCGCACACCATCCGTCTTGGGTGGCTTGGAAACTCTCCGTGCCGCATTTTAGGCAGACGAATAATTTTCCGAAATTGATTTCTTGGTTTCGAGTTCTTCACTGTTTCTGGGGAATTATGCAAGAATTCTTACGTTAGAGTTGTATTGATTTCATTGGCGTTGAATCTTCAATTCTACAATTTTTCTATCGTTGTGTTTTGTAGTCAGGCTGTCAGCCCGAGTTGCATAGCCGACCTACCTCAAGGGCCGCGGCCGGTCTCAATAGCAACAAATAACGGAATTCATTCGAGAATCTACCCATGTTTTTCATGTTTGCTGATGCGTAGCTCACAAGTATCGAGGGGTTCATTTGAGAACCCATGATAATGCGCCCGAGCTGGCATGTCAGGAAATCTCAAGATCGTAATCAGTCGTGTTTATAGAGCTGTGTAACTAAATTGAAGTGTGGCTTAGTGAGTGCCTATTGACATGAATCATCTTTATAACTCTAGATTCTACCCATATATCAAGATACAAAATCAAGATCAAAGTCTTCAAAATAATCATCATTTTGTCAATTTCACGTCAAGTTAATTTCAATCAAAGATTATCCTCAACATCAGCATGTCAACAAAACCAGAATTCGACTTCGATACTCTATTATCCGATTCTGCAGCCAGGAACAATGAAAATAGTGGTAAGGCTGCCACAAAACCTGCCCAAAATTCCAGTACCGACGGCTTCATATCAAGTATTGGATTTCAACCTCCTACTCCACTTTCTAGTGCAAATCCCACTTCAAGTGCGACACCTACTAGACCTCAATTCTCACCATTGTCCACTCCCCTTTTTGGAGCCTCGCTAAATACCACATCTGAATCAAATCCATTACGATCAGGCTTCAGTGCATCATCCACTACAACATATGAATCAAGTGACAATGACTCTTGCTCTCGTTCTCTTTTTTCTTTTACTCCTAACCCTGCTACTACACCTGGCTCACTATTCGGGAGTACTTTTCGATCTGACTTTGGTGCATCATCCACTACAACACATACATCAATTAACAATGGCTCTTCCTCTCGCCCTACTTTTTCTTTTACTGCTAACCCTGCTGCTGCAACTGGCTCACTATTCGGGAGTACTTCCGTGCATTCTCCGACAACGTCAAATGCAAACTCAAGACCATTATTTGGATACGCATCATCGAGCAACAATCCATCTTTCGGAAGCGGGAGCTATGTCCCATCAATTGCTACATTAACGCCCAATAAACCGGTCCAAATATCCACGCACGTACCGGCTTTCAATTTCCTGCCAACAGATGCGAATGATCCGGCCACTACTTCGGTGACCCCAACTCTAGAATCCATAGAATTTTCTTTCAACAATCTCAATATATCCACCGAGCAAGGAACAGACAGACCTCATGCACCTCACACATCTCACATCAAAACCACTTCTCCCACACTAGCACCCTCAAATCCACCAATACCCATCACTACCACATCCTCCGACAATTCCATTCTCACCCACAATCACTATGATCTAAACTCCGCCCGTGCACCTCCTTCTCCTTCTCATTCGCACGATTTCACTTTGGATCTCGAATCCGAGGACCCACGTACACATTATCAAACCATCCAATTTCACCGAAAATGGACTTCTCATTTGATTTCTCACCTCACTGGTATTCCTATCATCCGCGCTACAACCCCTCTTTCTCACCGACCCGACCACCCCAACGAACTCAAAACTCTCACTCATCACCTTAATCGACTTCCCGTAAACGAGCTCACCACTGCTGAATCCGAGCTCGAGGCTCTAATTACGCATCTACTCTCCCGCCCGGTCCTCTACACCCCCCAAAGTTCCCTTCCCAAACCTGACACCCTCCTCTACCGCGTACACGCTGCAACGTCCAAATCTCCCTTTGACCGCACCACAGGTATTCGCTGCTCAGGCTGGATAGACAGTCTCTACATCTCCGACACAGCAGACTCGAGACAAGCCGACGGCCGAGCATTCCAATCCCATTGTAATCGCGACAAGGTTCCTAGTCCCTACATATCCGTGTCTACATCCGTTGCACGACTTATGAGATTGTCCGATTGGCCGAGAGAGGAAGAAGCGGAAAGTCGTGTATTTGTTATCTCGCTGAATCGACTTAGACGATTGGGGATCAAAGCCCAAAGTACAAATCTATATTTTGATGAATTTTTGGATTCCGCAGGAGAACGGACTTACAGGCCAAATGGATGGAATAATTACGAGAATGGAGTGAGTTATGTGACAGATAGTCATTGGTTGGTAGAGGAATGGATACCGGATCAGGCGATTGTCAGTGAGATGGATTGTGAGGAGTTTTTAAAAATAGCGGAGAGAGGGGGAATCAATTGGGAGATTGCCAGGAAAAACCCATTCAACTCAGAATTAGAGCCACTGAAGATCGACTTGGAAAAGTGGCCTAAAAGAGATGTGCGAGCAGAATAGTGCGGCACGGAACAGTCCCAGTCTTAGCACAGCGAAATCAGAGCTCAGGTGAAGACATTTTGCAGAGGACCCAGGAATTGCAATATCGGAGTTAAGATCCAGTGAAAAGGAGGGGAGAAGAACTGAGAGAGATACTAGTGCAACTAGGACGATCCCGCCAGATTCAGGTATGGACCTAGCCGCCTCGCTATCTCAACTGGAAGACGCAACGAATAATTTGATTTGGATACACGAATAAAGATACGGGTCGTTGAAGTCTCGGCTAATATGATTTGGATATGCATGTCGATTTGAGGCTATCTTTACTAGCTTTGTGTTAGTTTCTTTTTTCGAGTTTGGTTGTCATTATTTTTGGAGTTCTTGGTATGTTCGAGTTTTTTCCCGGTATTGAACTTACCAATTATATACATAGAATCAGATTTTCTTCCAATTCTAATCCTACATTAAATTTCTCATCACGTGTACACGTATTCTCATCGTAGACAATTTCTCTCTCCCCCATAGCGCCTACAAGAACGTCAAACAGACACACTAGTCTCATACACTACCAATATGTACCCCCACGAAAGAAAAATGACATATGACATCGTCGCTAACATTCTTTATCTTTACTTAAGCATACTATACTCAGTAAATATTCCTACAAGGTGTCCATCTTGAAGGTCCTCTATATCTGAGAAGAATGAAGATGTACTGTTGCTATCACTCGTTTCTGTTCGACCAGTATAGTAATTATCTGGTAGTTGCACTGTGCTATCGGAAAATGATCAATGTAGCTGTTTCTTTTCTCTTCCCTGGTGGTCTATGTATAGATCGATAGAGTCAAATTTATTGCCAGAGTCTGCCGCATGAACAACCAAAACGTCTAAAAAAACCTCAACGAAACGGTGATATTAGCGAACGTGAATGAAGTATTAGGAATAGATTGGGTCGCGTGACCAAAAAGATACAGAAAGAAACTAGAAACTTAGATAAGGAATGATGAGCTTGAACTTTGCGCTGAAATCATTCATTGATTTGTTCATCCTGTGTATCTTGTGTATCGTGTGTATCTCTCTAACGCATATCTATCATCTAACCACCAGCGCCAAAATCCCGTAAAACACACATTCAAGCATCAGAATGCCCTGCATTTATCCGCCCATTTACCCACCCAATTTATTCATCTACCCATCTACTCCTTGTAGATATCGTCATCAAACTTTCCAAACCTATCTCTCCCCTCCACTTCAGCATTAACCCATACACTAACACTTGTCCCCGGACATCTGAAAACTCCCCATCCATCCTCTCCAATCTCTACCTCTCCTTGTTCCCAGCTCAAGACATCCGTCCATTTTTCTCTCGCATGTATTTCACCTACAAACATTCTCTTCTCTCCTGGTCCCGCATTACTCAATACCACTGCGCAACCGAATGGTCGATCCCAAGTTCCATATCTCACCCAGCCAATACAGGTTGCGTAATCGAAATAATCTTTTTGCTCGCCATATGCGTAGAGTTTTCTAGCCAGAGCGAGATTTGGGAGTGCACCACCGCAAGATGGAGGGAAGGGATGTTCGCCCTTTATGCCGTAAAGATCACCGTAGAAGATGCAGGGGTAGCCGTCGAAGCGGAGGAGGATGAGGGCATAGGCGAGGGGTTTGAAGAAAGGTTCTATGGGAGCTTCGAGGGCTTGGTAAGGTTGGGTATCGTGGTTCATGACTAGTGTCTAGAGAGTTGTTAGTTTTCCGTGTTTGAGAGGAAGAAAGGGGAAAGTGAAAGAGAGTTCCGAGGTAAACAAAAGAAAGGAACGACTTACAACAGCATTAACTGGTGCGGTCTGAACCAAGGTATCATTAAAGACACCCCTCAAGTCTCCTCCCTCTGTCTTGCTCAATTTGCTGAAGTTATAAACCAATGGTGCATCAAAAAGACTAAATTTTCTGCCCATGCGATCCAAATATTTGTTCATATCATCCAAGCTATCCTTCCAAAATTCTCCTACGAAGAACCATCCTTGGCCATATTTATCATTCATAAGAGTAATGAACTTTCTCAGAAAATCCTCACTGAAGTGTTTGACCGCATCGAATCTCACTCCCTTTAGTGTGATTTGATCTCCGAGCCACCCTCCCCAATTCAATACATCTTTTTCTACTTCTGGATGATCGTAGTCTAAATCTGCGAACATGAGGTAATCGTAATTGCCCTTTTCAGAATCGACATCGCCGTCATCTGCCCAATCCTTTGTTTTATCTCCGAGAATCTTGTAAATTGCAGTCTTTTGGTTTGCGTCGTTGTAATCAGTGCCAGAGAAGTGATACCAGTGGTACTTTTGTTTCGAATATTTATCGCCACGGCCGGGAAAGTCAAATCCGAGCCAGCCTTCGATTTCATATGGGCCTGAGATGTTCTTTGTGCGGTCTTCCTCGTCGACTTCCTGGGCAAGACACTTTTCTTTATGGTCTGCTGCTGCTTTGTGATTGAGGACTTGAGGGAGAAGAGAATGTTAGCTTTTTCCCCTTGAAGATATATTGTTCTGAGGAGGTAATACCAGCATCCCAATAGATTCCTACTCCTACTTCATTGGCTTTCTTCACCATTTTTACCAACTCTTCCTTGTTACCCCATTTTGTACCCTTCCCTCCCTTTTGTTCGAATTCTCCCAAATCATATAAATCATAAACATCATAACCATTTCCAGATTGAGAGGAAGCTTTACATCCGGGTGGGATCCACATGTTATCGATACCGGTAGCTTTGAGAGAAGGGATTGCATCGTGGAGTCTTTGCCAATGCTTATGATCGTCTGGAACATACCATTCAAAGGCTTGGAGCATGGTCATATTCTCCGGAGTAGGTTTTCCTATTGATGTTAGGTGCCTTCTTTTGAGATGGGGATATTGGAGTAGTTGAGAAATTGAGAGGTTTCTTACTTTCTTCATTGATGTCCCCCATATTGGATGACTTTGAAGAGACGTTTCTTGGGGTTGATGGATAACCAAAAGTATGTTGTCGTTGTAGAAGCAGAATGCAGATGTATAGGAATTAGAAAAAAGGTAAGAAAGCTATAGGGAAATTCATGAGAATAAATAAAGAATTTCAAAGATGGAATCGTCGTAAGTTTTACAACAAATTCCATTTTCGAAACTCGGATGCCCCTCCCTCCATTATTCCAAGTTAAATAATTCACCCCGCCTGATTTTCCAGTATTGGACTGGGGCTAGAATAGAGCTTCGCGACAAATAAGCTTGGAAATGATAGACTAACTGCCAATTTCCACCTTCTAGCCTCTAAGACCTTGATTTTAGAAGGGAAATGCATGAAGGAAAGATAAGACTAGTTGACCCCTGGAACTAACAAAGGTATCATGACGTGGGGTAGCAAGGAATGATTATTTTTGGGCACGACTTTAAGCATTCTAGAATATGAAGCTTTTCCAATAATGTTACAATTTAATATCGTGATGTTTGTAGCGACGACAAGCCTCGCCTCGCCTTGTCATGATATGGTACCTAGAGACCTAGAGACCTTTTGTTACACGACTTATTATTAACCGGCATTTTGTACGACGAGAGCAAGAAGTGAGAGTGTCATATCTTGTCACTGGCCCGTTTCTATCGGCTCGGATCTTGGCTGGATATTATTTAATTACTCGAATCTATAGTTATGCAGTACAACATTCGAAGGGTTGGTAACGGTAACGGTAACGGTAACGATAATAACGTTCTCGGTAACGGTCTCGTTATTATCGAGTATTTGTGTTACAATAACTATCATTACAATATCAAGAAATGAATGCATCGCGAGTTTATTAGTCGACGCTCCAAACAAGACACCCAAGACTTCATTCAGGAACAGAGTAGAGATCAACTCTTGGTCCCTGACATCCCCCCACTTGGTCTGTCGGTCAGATAGGAATTCCCCAGACCAAGATAATAAGTGAAGAAGCGTAAGTACCAAGGAGAAGTGTTACGAAGCAGCAGACGAGGAACCGACCAAACGACCAAACGACCAAACGTCAACAAGCACGCAAAAATGAAGCATCGTGAACCATCCATGTTGACATTGACTTTTTTGTCACTCACCGACATTCTAGAAAGTTTGGTAGATGATTCTCAATTCAACCCGAAAAAGAGTCCGGAGACGATTCAACCCTACCTCCCTACCATTTTAGATTCAATTGATTTGTTGATTGTTGATTTTCCCCGCCATTCATTCCACTTTCTAGTTTGGCATCTCTACGAAGGGTACGAAGTAGCAGCTATTAATTGAAAGAGCGGTCCCCTGGTCGCCTGGTCCCCTACAAGTATTTATATGGTTACCACGACAACCGAACAATCTCAACACTTACACAGCACTCTTCCATTTCATCAGATATCTTACACTTCCAATGATTTCAAATGCTTTAATGATATTCTTGTAAATTCACTCCGTACACCTGTTGTCAAACCCTCCCACTTCATCCTCGTACCAATCATCAAGATTAATCGACGGGTTGCTGCATGAAACTGTTTCACAGATCCGTCAATATTTACTTCCCGATCGTCGCTATAAACGGGTATACCCAACGGGATTATATTGACAGTCGAGGTCAAATGTCGCAATCAAGTTCTCGTCGACAGTCAGACTTTAATATTCATGAAGATTCCAATTATCTGGATGATATGGTCGAAGAAAAAGATATCCAGGAAGTAGACGGGGAGAATGCGACAAGTGAGGGGAAAGATATTGGTGATGTAGTGTCTCAATTGGAGGATCCACCAGGAAATACAAAAGAGAATTTGGAAATGGAGGAATCTGAGGTTGAAGGATATTCAATATTGGATCAAGAGTTCCCGGAGTTACAAGAGGACGATTCGATACTCGCGAGGCCAGAAACAAAACACAACGAACACGATGACTGCGAAAACTGCAAACACGCAAGGGAGGAGAAGCGCACACGAGCAGAGGCAAGAGAATTACAGATGCGACGAATCGATGCGGAAATCAAGGATGCAGCACGAAAGGTTGTGGAGAGCTTTGAAAAGAAGGATACCGAAAGGAGTACGGCTACGAACGAGTACGAGGATTTAATCCTTAGCACACAAGCGGCGGAAAGTAATGAACCAGAGGATCATGATGATTCTCTTTCGAGCACAGGAATCGATGAGAGCTACGAAAGAAATTCATACAATGGGCAAGATGGAACGGATTTGACATACGATATCACAAACGCTACGCTGGAAGACGAAGAACAAACGGAGGACGAGGACAGTATTCTTCACCACGATCTTTCTAGTACCGATGCCGAAACAGAACGGGGAGACTATGATATGGAAAGGAGAGATAGCAGCTCACGTTATGGAGATGTCGAAGACGATGTTTTCACTGATGGTTCCGACAAGAGTCCTCGATTATCAATAGGTACCGCAGAGGAAGAATCCAGCAAAGTGAACATAAGTAATCGAAACTCATGGCAATCAAGTCAACATCTCGATTTAAGTGAAGAAGCTCACCAATTAGTGAAACTTAATTCACCTGTTGTTGGTGAAGAAGCTGCTACAGAATCTATCATCTCAAGAATTCCTAGCGGTACTTCTCATTCTCGTACGTCTGCACCAAGAGCAAGGGATTCATCATGCAGTCCTAGAAAAGTATCACGTCATCCATTTCGCACACCGTCAGATATAAGGGCGATGCAAATGTATTCACCAGCTCCTTCGCTGTTTTCCACACCTTATTCAGTAAAACGACAACAAAATCCTACTGTTTCTCGTCTCGGTACTCCAAATGGCTCTCAATACTCTAAAAGTCGGACGCCCACTCGTTTCAAGAAAACTAGAGAAGAATCATCTCTTGTACTTCTTCACGTTACCGTTCTTCCATTGCAATGGCAATACGCCAAAGCTATTTTGGCTCCAGAACTTCCTGCAAATCTTTACAGTATTCGTGAGGCATATTATCTTTTACAAGAAAAGCTTAGCGAAACCATTCTTACTCGTGGAATATTGCTACCTCATCCACAAGATAGTTATGAATGTCTTCAAGAGCGTTTTCTTGATGCTTTAGAACTTCCAGTCCGACCCCGGGCTAAAATCCTCCGATGTGGGCATTATATGGGTCCTAACACCACATCTTCGGACGATGACTCAGACGAGAGAGATAGTGGATTTGGTAGCACTGGAAGATTTAGACCCAGACCGGAGAAAGTCTGGTGCGATATTTGCCGTCGAGACGTCAGGTACGAAGATGATGACCTAGACGAAGATGATAAAAGATTTAACGTCAAGATCTTCGCAAGCAACGGCTTAATGAGAGCTGGGGCCTGGGCAGCTGCATGGCGAGAGATGGAAAGGGTAGACATCGAAATTGAACCATTTGTTCAACCATGGATGGTTGAAGATATGGAGGATTTAATCGAGAGACTACGAGAAGCGGAAGAGAGAGATGAGGATGATTATGGACATTATTCAGATGATTCGAGTAGGGAAAGTTTAGGGTCGGAAGCTCAGAGGTTACATGAACAGGGGATGGACAAGGTTACATTGAGACAGAAGAGAGGGGGCTTGGAAGGGAGAATTCAAAGAAACGAATGGTTGGCTGTTGCGTCTAAGGCTGCGGTAGAAGAAGCGGAGAACTGCGCGAGGGAGGCTGAAGCCCTAAGGCTGAGAGAAGAAGAGTTGGCGAAGGCTAAAGAGAAAGAAGCTAGACGGGTTGAAGAAGAAGCCAAAATCTTGCGACTCCGAAAAGAATCAGAAGCAGCCCAAAAAGCGGAGGAGGAAGCTAGAAAACTTCGCGTTGAAGCGGAAACCTTGAGCCTCCAAGAAGAAGAAGCCGAGAAAATACGTATTGAAGCTGAAGCTGAAGTTACACGGCTTGTGGAAGAAGTCAATAGAGCCCAAGAGTCATCCGACCTTGCTCCTGGGTCATCACAACATAATGACGATGGCCAAGCCGCCAAAGATCTGGAAGCAGAAGCCCTAAGAATCTATGAAGAAGAAATGGCATTAGAAGAAGAAGCACAACGTATTTTCGACGCAGAGCTTGCAGATCAAAGAATTCTTGAGGAACAAGCCAGGGAGATTATGGAGGAAGAAGAAAGTTTGAGGAAAGTTAAGGAGGAAGAAAAGTTGCCACAGAAAATCGTGAATCAGGAAAAGGAAGCAGAAAAAACGAGATTACGGGACATTACTGAAGAAGCTTCATCCCGAAGTGAAACGGCACAATTTTCTTCTACTTATGCTCCAACTTCGAAGCCGAAGACTCCTACGAGGGCGGTAGAAGGAGACGAAACACTCACCGAACTGCTAGTCAAAGCAGCTCGTGTAGCGATGCGTGATAGGAAAAATATACTCATCTTAGTTCTTAGCGTGGTAGTGCTAATCCTCACGCTAAAGCCAACTTCAACTCATGGACTTGAAGGGACAAAATCTGTTCCGGATATCATTTTCCAGAACCATAGGTATGAAGTTGGTCAGATTGTCGATCAGAAAGCTTATGCTGCTTCTGAGAGAGCTTTACCCATGAGGGAGATTGAAAGTTCAATTAAGTGGAAAGGTCAGGGAAGGGATGTGGTCATCACGAGCTCAGCGCCAGCTGTGGTGCATGGTGAGACTCTTGAGGTAACAAATAAAGGAGGAAGATTAGAGATTGATGCTCCTATTCCGAAGGAGATTGAGAAGCCTCTTCAAATCAGTGCTTCTGGAACAGAGAATCTCCAGACGGCGAAAGAGAAGAATCCAGTCTTGGAGATTGGAATGGAGGTTAAGGAAACTGTGTCAAAATATACTCCAACCTTCGATTTCGTCTCAGATGCAAGTTTTGAAACAGCAGATTTACCAGCACCCGATACAGAACCTCAAGGGGAAAATTCAAATATCGACAGTAATACCGAATCATGAATCGGGAAAAATTTTAACAGAAAGAAGAAGGAAAGTTCAGCGAATAATTTTGTGGTTCATTTGGTACAGATAGAATATGTTCAGATACCTGATTACCAGTCCTGTGAGCGCATGCATGTTGGAGTATTATATAGCGAATGCGAATGAATGAGCGATTATGTTGATTAGTTAGTTGTTGGATTGTTTATGTGATGTTATGGTTATGGTTATAGTTTGTTTGTTTGGAATTTTGGATAGAATTTAGGATTCTTACGCTCTTTTTTATCTTGGCCTGGCTTGGCTTGGATGAATGTTTGGATGAATGTTTGGATGAATGTTTGGATGATGTTGATGACTGGAATTGGCAGGATACAATCGTCTGTGGTGTTTGGAACTTGAGAAATGATGAAGTTGGAAATCTTATTGTGAAGCATGATGAAAGGGAAGGGTGAGGGTAGTGGGGTTGTATATATTGTTGTGAAGTTTGTTTGGATGGACGAATGAATGGATGAATGTAGTTGGTAGGATAAAATCGAAGGGAGAGGTTGGATTGGTAGTTAGACTAGTACTAAAATCAAATAAATTGATAACAAATGAAACTCATACATCTTTTGTTTGGAATCGTGTTAATGAGGATAGATCTTTATGAAGAGATTGTGAAATGGTCAGTCTTTAGATATAAAACTCGCCAATCTCATCCTATCTCATCTCATTCATTCAGATGCCATTGTTTATTAGATATGTAAATGGAAATCTTTTTTCAAACATCTCGTCTCATCTTCCTGGATAATATTCCCCGCTAGCTAGCTTACTAGCTTGGGAATTTGGTAAGGAGGTTAGGGGTAGGGGGTGGAGAAAGGAGGAAGTGTGTATTTGTTGAATGATGATTTGTACTATTGGTTGCATGTGTAAGATGATAGGGTTCTATTGTGCTGTTTGTGTACTGTGATATTAATAGATCTATCTATATGATTCTATATAGGTAGGTATAGCACACCGAGTTGATAATATTTACGTTTGCTCGGCTGTATTTATCCGGGCTTACTAGAAGAAGAAGTAAAGCTTGAAAGAAAAGATGGTCGCTTAGCATCTGGAGAGTGCTTTTTGAGGCAGTGATAAAGAGGCGTAGGTTGGAGTGTTTTAGCTAGGTAGGTATAGTAGAGTCGACAATGGAGGAATTTTCTTAGAATTATTGGTAGAGGGGTTGGGGTTGGGGACTGGACGGATGGTGGCAACGATTTGATTGATGAATTATGCAATTTCTAGCGAGATACTTAGTTGGAATCTTTCGAGGATCTTCGAAACGGATTTAAAGTTCATGTTTTCGAGAAGATTGTGAAGTTCTTAGATATCAGAATTGTTCAGTAAGATATCTTTGTATCATCAATATAGATTCACTTGAATGGTGAGAATTCTGTGGTCTGATAGCTCGGATGGAGGATTGAATCTTTCTTTTGGAAGCGTATCATTATTGTAATTCACCTGAATGAATAGTCTAGCATGTACATTGACTCTCAAGGTGTTCAGTCACTTGATTGTTAATATCTCCACCGGAAGAGTCTAAGCGGCCGTTTTCTAAATATCATTTTTCAAACAATTTTTAGCCTTCATTTTGAAATTAAATTGATTATTTACTAAATGACATTATATTAATTTCAATAGCAACTTTATAAAATTAAAGCCTCAATAATGTTCTATCAATTGGTATAAAATCAAATAGAATAATTATAGTTGAATGTTGAACAGACTTTTTAAGATGTAACCTTATACACAAAATATATAAGTTAAAAGGGATTGTATTCATCTGTCTAATTCTCTCTTCTTCCAAAGGAAGAATACTATTCTATAAGTTTACTATCTAAATGAGTGATATCATTTAGGGAGATATCATTACTGTCATCACTGATGGATGTTACATTAGAAGTGACGTTAAATATGACGATGGTTTATCGTGATGTTGTATGTCACGTGTTCCAACATTGACAGAGTGAAAGGACTAGAAGTGGGTCTACGTAAACACTAGACTAGCTACAAGACTAACTCCTTCAATATAGGCTTTGAATGACTCAAAGCCGTTCATTCAACTCCTGTTAATACAGTAAAGGATAATTTGTACTCACAATATGAGTAGAGGAAAATAAAATTCCTCGAGTTTATAAGATTCTTTAAATCTTACATAAATAGTAGCTGATGAGAATAAGAACTTAATAGTTAGATTTTCGAATTATCTATATTTCAAAAATAATAATCAAAAACTATTCGAAATAATCTTCTGATTAATATTCAATGAAAGAAAACATTACAAATTCTTTAAATCTTAATAAATTAAATAAAGTTTTGAATTTATAGAAATCTCATCTCAATTATTTGTTAAGTTACTATTCTCATCGAGTTATTGTTTTATATATCTTTTGAAGAGCTTCAGAAGTATAAACTCTGAAATCTATTTTCCAATCACATTATTGTTTCATTGAATGGGATGGAACAATAGGTTTTTATTTTATTGTTTGTATGATGTAGCATTAATGAGGTTCATTGTAGACGCTCTTGTTCTCTGGGAAAACGAGAGAAATAAGATAGTGGATGCTAGAAGCAGCTAGATGGTGGAGGCTATAAAGGTGGATTTATGTAGTTGCATATTGTAGAGATGGATAGACGGATGTAGTGATGTATGTAGGTGTGTATGAATGTACATTGTAAGTGGAATAGGTAGTTGAAAAGATAGGTATAGTTATGAATATGATAGGCTCGAATATAATGTGTTTTCTGAGCGGGGATTGGGGGTTCAGTGATGTGGGGAGGAGACAAAATCCCAGTGTTCCGAAGAATGACAAGTTTAGTCAGCGTTGAGAATAGTTTGATTTAGATATAACGATGGATTGAAATGAGGGATACAGGGGATTATTTTATTTATTTTGTAAAGGTAAGCAAGCTATTGAGATCAATACTCTCTGGAGTGTTTGAATTGGTATTTATAGAAGATTAGATGGATACATGACACAGGGGCTGAAAGCAGTGTTTTGGTTTGATACAGATAGAGAGAGGGAGTCTGGTTAATAATGCACAAGATTCTCTGTTTTATGAAATATAATGATACTACGTGATGCTGGGTATAGCAACCCGAGCAGACGTTGTTACATAGAATGTTCCAGGGCTAAGAAGCAGAACCGAGTCGTGGAACATCATCGCTTAATCCCTGAAAGGTACTTTTCTTTCAAATAGAGCTGTACTTTGAGTATTTTATCGAGGTATAGGTGGTATAATCGTCAATGGAGGGATTTCCTCAAAGTTGTTGATTGATTTTTGGGTGAGGGCTAAGAAGATGCTAATTGAAGTGGGTGAAGGAAAAGAAGAATTGGGGGGTTGAAAATGGAAGTGATACAATGAGGGAATGGGCAAAGATATTTGTGCACGATCTTGATATTAATGCTTCTACATCATGAAAGATTAGATTCCAGAATAGTCATATCCATTCAACTGTATGAAGTAGGCCAGCGCTAGCTGAGTAAAGTAGCTTATATACAGCTAGCATTCCAAGATATTTCTCCTCCGGACCTTCCCCCCACATACCATTCCTGTCTATTTGTGATTCTATCAAACTCCAAACATTCTCTTCTCAGGCCTAACATCCAATCATTCAATCCAGAGTCTTGAGATATCAATTGCAGCATTCAAAATATACTGCTGTCCCCACGAATCCTCTAACCAGCCCATCAAATCTCCGGTAACAATGAATTCTGCCCTAATGTTTTCATTGATAAGGGCTGCTAGATCGACATCATCCTCTGCGCCACCAATGACACTTGGTCGCTCAGCTTTAACGATGTAAATAACCCCCTGCAGGAGGATTGTGTGGGCAAGGGCAGAGAGGGATGGTAGCTTGGCGCTGCATGCGGGGCATAGCTAGTCCTTATTAGCCAGTACACTCAAAAACTATAGTAAGGTTAAGCTTACATCTTTGAGGATGTTGAAACCGTCAGTTCTCGATGGTACGACCATGAGAGGACATAAACGCCCACATTGCGAGAAGGGCAGTTGGGGTCGAGAACTGGGTGGCGACAGTGATATAATTGGTTGATTATATACATTCTAGATGGATATTTGGTAATTTTTGAAGACCTTTGGGATATATTGGAGTTCTTATTGTTGATAAGATTGTCAAGTTTTCAGATATCAGGATTGCTATGCTAGATATCTTTCTATCACCTTGCAAGATCAGTATACATCTTTCAGATTTACTTTAATGGCGAGGACTCTACATGAGTCCATAGCTCGAATGGATACTGAAAGCTTCTTTCAAAAGCGTATCATTCAGGGGAGCTCAGATCCTTCTAATTCACTTGAATGGGCTGTTTCAATCATATCACATAATCGCTCGGTTTATGTGCTCTTGATGATCTCCCACAAATGACGTATAGTTCTCATTTAACCTGAATGAGTCCACTCTCTAGCTCCAAGTTTTCTATCAGAAACATGCGATTTGCATACAGCATCTAGCATTGCTTCATGATGTCTGGCGTCGTTGCCAATTCACTCAGGTCAGCTCGCTTAATATCCGGTATCTTGCCAATTCACTTTGCGAGAATCGTTCATACGTTCGCTGGCACATGGAATGATGCCTCCATCCTTCAAACATATCACGCCATTTAACAATTATCAAACACATTTTCAGACTCACATGTGTACTGCTACTATGGCCAATAAAGCGGAGTCGATTTACAAGTGATTATGGGTATTCATTGACAGAGTCGATCCTGTCATTATTTCCACCATATCAACAATTAAATCAGAGCTCCGGTACTTGATATTTAAGTTACAAATTGAGTAATCTCATATTTAAAGCCTAAAGCTTATGTAGTGACTCTCTCTTAAGCTATAACCATGATACGTCAAGACTAAGTCGATGGAAAGGAGGCTTCGGTTATATCATGTGGACAACATTGAGTCTTGTATTCCTAGATTCATGGGGAGGCGTAATATTAATGCTAACTGCAACTTCTTCCATGGAACCTCTCAAGTTATTGTATACATTGGAAGGGTGCTGGGGCTCGAAAACAATCTCATCAGTTGTTTTTGTTCCGAAAGTGTAATCCTACAGCACGAAATTCAGGAAAGTCTTTCTCGACTACCAGTAAATTACAAATCGAAAAAATTAAGAATTTAACAGTATCCAATTAAATCAAATCTATTCACTCATTCAACTACACTCATATCTATGATATCTGCATTGGGCTCTAATTTAGCATATCCCACCATAAAAACTTTTCCTCATGACTCTTCATTCTTTAATCCTCTCATTTATATAGTTCTCAACCTTCCTGCTCAGCGCATAGAGTCTGATAAGCGCGTGATAACGCTTTAGATTCCTCTTGGCATTACTGATCCACCTGTCCAGTATCTCGAGAGAATCATCACACACAAGCTTTCTCTCTTCAACATTACAATATACCTTATCCATGTGAGTCTGCCTTCGCGAGAACAGTTGTCTGGGTATTGCCACTTTGGATGTTCGGATCTTTACTTTCCTCATCTTTCTTTTTCCGCCTTGAGAAAGAAACGGTGATTGAATTAGCCGAGATTATCCCCCTCCTGTAGCATCTATCAACTCGATAGCTTAGCAGGCTTCACTTTGAAGGTTGTCTTTTATTGGATGAGTCCAGGTGAGCTTCCTCGAAATGCCGAGCTAGTGTTTGCCATACTGGATCATTATCGTCTTTCATATATTGAATGGTGTGGGAACAAAATGAGGCCACAATTTTTTGGGGAATCTTCGCAGTAATCGAGAAGTACTTCTCAAGCTGTATTGAAGAAGCCTCCAATCAGATTGTTTGTACTCAAAATTGCGCCATTGATCGTAGAACTTTGAAAAATTAGAAGCTCTATCTTTCCATAAGTCCTCAGTGTCATCTTTCATTTGCGCCTTTCATTTGCGTGATAAACCGGCTCGTCAGCTTCCGGTGCCACACTCGGCACAGGAACATCAAATTGTCGAGATTGAAGACCGTAGCATAGGTTGTTAAAGCGATTAAAGTTCCTGCGATAGTTAAAGCTTTTCAGCTGAACAATATGTCATTAATACTCCAAACTGCCTACTCAAGTGGGTGGAGAATCGACTGTACTATGCTAAAAGACAGCGACAGAAAGAATATGCTGACGAAGGTGAGTAACTTTATGTTCTCTCCTAATTGGGTGGATGCTTGGCTTTCCATGACTCCGCTGGCATTGAATAACTTCAAGAGTTTTCAGCAATGTAAACCAGCACAGAATGACACAAGTGATTGCTTACCCCATCGCGCAGAGCTAATGCTTCTTCTCTTTCATCCGATAATCTATTGGCTATATCCTGTAGCGCCTTGAGCTTCTTTCGTATATCTTCACAATTGAGACCGAGAGACGTGCTCGCCGTCCCACTCCGAATCCTTGGGTCCTCCATAACCCTTTCTGTCTCTTCAACGTTTTTTGAAATCCTCACATGCAATTCTTTGAGAATAGAAATGGCCCAGAAATACTTCTTCGATCTCGAGAACGTCTCATCATCCACCAAGAGACGATCCTGATGATCAGGATCTCTAAAAGCCATTTTTCACTGATGAGTCCGTCGAAATATTCAGTTATCTTTGTCCAAGCAATCTTCACCTCTGTCATAGTCTTACTGACAAAGCCTGTGAAGACTACCAACATCTCCTGGTTGGTTTTTTTTGATACTCTAATTCTGAATCCAATCGAAAACTGGCTGCTGGTCGCATTTCCAGAAGGGTCCAATATTAAATATTTTCCTTTGCTGAGACCACTATGAGCTATGAGGCATTAGCCATGCGTTTACGATTATAATCTAGCGAACCTACATTATACTCGCTGTATAGCAGAACTGGAGGAAGATTTCGCTTATCTGTAACATCTGCATCCATGTTTGCCTTTTCGCTGTGAAGTTTGCCTGTTCTCCAGATGTTCCAAGGTCCCGCATCGGGAAGCTTTTCGTATTCCATGGGAGGAATCTTTTGAATTCATAGTAGACCAAATGGAAGGTGACATTTTCAAGAGCACTCTCTCCTCTCCACGTGCGAGATATACCCTAGACCTCAGAGAAGTCTATTTTTCTACTCCTTCCGATTTTATGGACAAGATGGGTGTGCCGACATTCCCGGCCCGTCATAAGTCTTATTCTTGAGTTAGTCAGCGGCTCAAGCAAAAAATGGTGATCTCACATAATTCTGCTCCATGGTGCTATGGGCAAGTTTTCAGTGACAAACTTGTCTTTATCATCAGGAGCAAATGATCTTGGCTTGCACTCGACCTTGGGTTTCCCAACCGTATAAATAATTTTCTTGCCAGAATCGAAAATTCCAACCACACTTGTTGGTTAACCATCAAGCCATTGGCAAAATCGCGTTTTCATCGGCTCGTACACGTTCTAGATGGTCGCGTATTTGATCAGGCGAAGTGTCAAGCAGCCAACGTCTCGCAAATGTCAACCGCCAGCGGCCATCCTCAGGGACTTGCCATGAGTCTCCCATAAGACGCGACCAACTATCTTCCTCACCGTCAATTAGTAGTCTCGCCGGAATATCTTCGATGCCATGATGTCTTCCTGTTCAAGTGAACTTTACTATGTCTCGGGAGTAAATATCGTGAATAGGTAAGGGCGATGCAGAAGTTGTTGTAATTCCGATCTGTGGTATATTGGTAGCAATATTGCTAGTTGCAACAGATACAGTTGTCTTCTATCAAAATATCAGCAGGCTCTTTGATATCGATCTTACTATTAGCCTACTTGGTCAAGGTTATCTAAGCTAAGTAAGGATCCCGTATTAGAAGCCGCCTTTACTTTAGACTCCGAGCTGCTATCGGCTTTTCCATCCGGTTTCTCCGTACCAATACGCTCTCTGATAGCTTTCAGCTCGGCCAAGATACCTTCGAGCAGCGGTTTCAGCAAGTCAGCCTGAGACATGATTTTAATACACGCAGACTGTAAGACTGAGCATCTCAAATATTTCTTGTGAGATATTGTGATGCTGAGCGAGCAAATATGAAATTTTAGTATCCAATAAAAAGGAAACCGAATCAGATTGATTGAGGTAGCATCGCGGTCGAAGATTTCAACGAAGCGATGAAAGGACCATGACCAAGTTGTGACGAATATTTTGTGTTCCGAGGCTTTGGGCGCAGCGCATACAATAAGACCTATTAGGGAGCAAGACGAAGCCAAGATCTACACTGTAGTGCAAAAAGACCGGTGGCTTTCAGGAACTTTAACCTGATATTATGTTACCACCCAAGTGTACTCGCTAGTGGGCCCATCGCCACGCTTTCGGGGTTACATCTTCAGATATTGTGACTTACACAGCCATATTTCTTGCGGAACCTTATTGCGGACGACAAGCTTGCCATGTTGTACGACAGTTTGTAAATATGATACTACATCAAGGACATGCCACGCTACCAACTTCTCCTTGTTTGTTTGGTCGAGAACTAATGGTTAAGAATTGGAGAGACTTTGTGATTTCAACGCAAGCTGTCACTAAAAATGCACCTATCCAACCGACACAAGTGCGAAAGGAATTCGAGTCGAGATCGTCTTGATTATTTGGCGTGTAATATTTAGAAACTGAGCTTCTAGGTGTATTTGTCACAGCCCCACCGCACTCCCAAACAATCATTGCGAGAAAGACTCGCATGAAATGTGAGCTATTAAATGACATAGTGTTGGGAAATTGAATCGATGGACTGAACTCGCTGGCAAACCCTCCAAACTCATCCTGTTTATTTCACTCATATTACCTCCGACTTTATTTTTAGGGAGAATATTTGCCTTAAACTGACCCCCTTTCATTCATAGCTCTAAATTAATAAGAGCCAATCTTTTAGATTTGAACAAAAGAATCAAATATATCAAAGAAGAGGAAAGAATTTAATTTCATACATTGAGTCATCTCTTGTTGTATCTGAGATTATAGTCCCATCACCTAACATTTTAGGGGGAATGGCGAGGCTATGCAAAGATAGATGGGAGGATATAAGAAGATTATGGAAATCGATTTTGAATATCAGTTTTGTCGCTTTCACCGCACCATCGAGATATTCAGCAGCGGGAAAATAATGCTACATAAATGCAGCCTGATTCAAATGGTAAGAAGCTTCGTCCGATCAAGGGAATTGAGCCGATAATATCTGGCGTCTAACCAATATGCACTATACTATCGAGTGTTCAATACACAGAATCTTATGGTTGTTCAGCTGAATAATTTGAGCAGGCAAGCAGTAAGCATACAAGAATGAAGCATCCTAATTCGTTATCTCCTTACTCAACGGTACCCGATTTAGCAATAGCAACACGAGCTTTTGGAGTACCAGAACGAGTACCAAGTGCTTCGATTTTCTTCACAAGATCCATACCCTCAATTACCTCGCCAAACACCACATGTTTGCCATTCAACCAAGGTGTGGCTATTGTAGTGATGAAAAACTGGGAGCCGTTCCTATTGATGGTTAGCCTTTCATCACCGACTAACTCAATAGTACCAAGAACGGGTATCAGAAACAAAACCTACGTATTTCTACCTGCATTAGCCATACTTAATTGACCAGGCTTCGTGTGCTTGAGCTCGAAATTTTCGTCCGCAAACGTTCTACCATAAATGGATTTTCCACCAGTTCCCTGCGTTTACATTAGCAGTTTCTCGTCAGAAATGGATCGAGCAAGTGATGTAACCTACGTTTCCTCGAGTAAAATCGCCACCTTGCAACATGAATTGTGGGATAATACGATGGAATGAACTTCCAGCATATCCAAATCCATGTTGACCGGTACACAATTCACGGAAATTGCGTGCAGTTCGGGGAGTAATCTTATCGTAAAGCTTGAATGTGATGCGACCCGCGGGAACTTTGAAGTGATATCAGCAAGAGATGAACCCACCTACAAGCGTAAGACCCTACCAGAATCAACAGTTATGTCAAAGAAGCAGTTTTTGCTCGTGTTGTCCCCATCTTCGGGCTTGGCCAAAGTAGCTACAGGGTTTGAAGTCGAAGATTGGATGAATGGGAACGAAGAAGTGATTGAGAAGAATGAAGGCGTTAAGAGATTATAGAGCGAAGAGTTGTTTCCCTCAGACGATAGAATTGGTGATGGGTATGCAAACTTCTGAGAAGGCGTGGAAAATGGCGGTGCCATATATCTTGACTTTGTGTCATTATGAAGCCATTGGAAGGCAGAACTTGTTGAAAACATCTTTAGATTGGGAAAGAAAGTAAGCCTGAGTCAATTGAAGTTATTGGAGATTGTATCAACCAGAATTTAACTTCCACAAACGGTCGTCGACCATGTCGAATTGTCAAAATTGAGCGACACACGTGATGAAGTTGAATCCCGTGGTTTAGCCGGTCATCTGATATCACCTCAACAATCCATCGGTTGTACGGTTTCATTGAAACATCGACGACAATAGCTTGGTATTTACGACTTGATTATTGTGACTACTTTAGTTGCCAGTTTAGACTGAAATAGGCCAGAACCCTGTTACCATCTCTCAATATCTCCAACACATGCTCACGCTCAGTTCTTCCACGAAATAAAGTCACTCCCATTATATTCTTTTCACTTTGAAGTCTCCATATTAGCCAGACGCGATATGGTTCTGGCGCGATAACTTCGCTCAACTTCCCAAGTTCTTCTTCGTCATATTCTGTGGCAGATGGTACTTCAAGGAAGGAAAAAAGGGCAAATAATGACGAAATCATATGCTTCGTACAATCCGCGTCTGTAATCGACGGGTGCCTTAAGTCCCATCTCGTCTGCGAGCTTGCAACCCCATTGCTTCATCAAACTGATATTTACTTTACAACGATGCCCTGGATCTACACGACAGTAGCTTAGGACTGAAAGCAGGGACCCATTTAACAATGATTCGACAGAAATCACAATGCATTTCAAAAATGACGAAAGAGAGATGCAGATGTTTCTTTCGCAAGTGTGAACGGCTCATGATCAAAGAGTGGCCTCCCAAAAAGGTCTCATATGCATCATGATAGATGATCATGGTTCTATTTGCTATCCACATATTAAGTCAGCATGTGAGGATTTTGAAATGCATTCAGAGAAAATGGATTATACCCTCTGACCATCAAGTAGCCGGAAGGGGGCTCTAGTTGTGCAAATGTATTTGTCTTGGGAACAATCCATTCAGCACCACGAATCGCCTATTTCCATTCACTACCGTACCAGTGGCGGTTTGAGTTGCCTGCGTGCCAACCACATTGTCTTTCAGCACACTCCTCGATGCCGGGACCTTTGAGAACTTCCCAAAGGATGTCGAGTGGTGCCCAGAACCAGTTACTGACTCTCATATAGAAGTTGCGACGGCCATCACCACGACGTCAAAGAGACTACGGCAAGGCTAATGCCTCGCCTCATGAGGGAGATGATGATGATGTGGATGTTAGCGATGGAATATCACGACGTGTCAATATTATATCCCGCGTTGATTGTACGAATTAGTATTAAACAACAAGCATAGCTTTCACAAATTAGCATCGGACAATGAATGTTGAATGTGTGAGCTGGGATTAGAGAATCAAGGTATATTGCACAAAGTGGGCACGCATTTTCAAGTGGAATTTGTGTCCCTATAGTTTGAGAGCTCAAAATTTTGGCCGTCATTTATTTGGCGAAGGAAAGGAGATGAAGTCTTTTGAACGAGTGAATTTTCGTCCCCTTTTTCACACCGGCAGAGGTTTGCACCAAATATAAATCTGGTTTGTGAAAGGTGGGCTTTCCGTATTGTTTGCTGAATGATGACATTGAAATCGACGAAGTTTGTTGCTTTACCCTATTAAGACTGCTTTCAATTGTAGTCATGGTAGATCGCATGCATCCACTGTTCCATAAGCCGACGGTCACCAATTTTCGTAGTGCACTAAGAAGTCCCGCCTTAGGGAAGATCAAAACTACTCGCGACTCGCTCACCTGAAAATCCGAATCTCCCATCACATAAAAGGTACAGTTGTCTGAGAAACTTCTCGGTTTCTCTAATCATCGCTTAACATAATCATCCCTACCGGTCCTTCACATGCGAAACCCTAAACCGCGGCAAACAAGGATACTTCCCCAGATTACCCCGCAGACATGTGTTCCTGCAGCATACTTAGCATGTTGTTCTTCATGATATCCGTCTGTAGATCAAACTAGGCTTGCAATGCTTTTGACCAAACGGATTTTGCAGGGAATTGGCTGCAGGTGACTGCTCATCGATCCTGTTCATTTGAACTTCCCCTCATCACATCGTTACTGTTGTGATGAGCACCCACCAGAAAACGTTGGAGGATTTCAACGCGTCTAAAGTGCCTAAAGCTGCAGGTATTTTTTGTCTAGTTGCTCGCCGATCGATATACCTTGAGGGAGTGAGAGGTAATAATGTATTTATCCGATCTGGAACATATAATGCGGATACGCATACACGTATTAAATCGCAGAAAAGTTCTGAAAGCTATTCTCATAATTATCTAACTTTAATTTGGCATAATTCGGCCCTAACTTCAATACAAAATGCGTTTCACTATCCTTCCTATGTTCTTCCTCGCCTCCAAAGTCCTTTGCGATGGCCAAGCAATCGTAGATGCTATTTCAGAAATCGCAAATACAACCACCTCTCTCAACCAAACCGTCTCTATTGTATGTCCTCTTTTTCCTCTCACTCTTACCATCATCATCATACCATATGCATCCTACCATCCATCCCTCCAACTAACCCTCTCCGTCCCTCACCCCAGTGGTCCGGCAGCCTTCTAACTTCCCTCCCCATCATCACCTTCTCCGCCAAACTTCTCATCGACATTAACACTGGCACCTGGATCGCTTCATCCTCCGCAAACCTCACTCTTATCGAAACCATCACCATCGCCACCGCAACTCAAAACCTCGTCACCGTCGTAGAGGAAACTCTCGATACCATCGTATCCGCTAAACCGAAATTCAACAAGCTACTTTTCAGTCCGCTTATCTTGTTGGATTTGGTGGAGGAAAAGAGTGCGACGGATACTTTTAGCGCGAAGATCATTGAGAAGATTCCGGAAGCCTTTCAGGAGACTGCGAGGTTTGTTTGATTTTATGTTATTTCTCTGATGCTGTGTTCGTTTTGAGAGTTTGGGAACTGATTTTTGATAGAGCTATTGTGGCGCCTGTTGATACGGCGTTTGATGCGGCGATTGCGGATTATAAGTTTCTGTGAGAGAAATGGATAAAGACGGGGGATATGGTGATTGTTGGGTTGACGAAGGGGAGTCGGAGGGGAGGAAGGGAGTGGAGAAGTGCTGAGGGGCAAGTGGTGTTTGTAACCTTCTCGAGTCGAGCAGGAATTCAATGACGAACACTAGGATATGATTGAGAAACTATAAATCGTTTTGACAAGGACGCTACATGAAAACAGTAACGAATATAACCTCTGATATAATGAGTACTCATCACAAATTACTTTTGAGCCCCTTTCTTTGAGAATGAGAAGCGATCTTATGGCCAGGGTCGAAATCAATCTTCGATGACGAATTTAATGCTGGCGACATTGATAACTTACGGAACACTCCTTGCGCATGCCTAATGAAAGCATTGTGTATGCATTTGTGCAGTTCAATTTCCTAGGCTGGATTTCATATCTCTATCCCTCCACTTCTATTTCATAATGAAAAATTCACTAGTCACCACAAACCCACACAAATGTACACAGAAAATACCTATCCAGCACTTGCGGAACCTAGCTTTCAGAATTGCACCATCTTTTGCATGCACTCTCATATCCACACTTAATCGACGTACTCAATCAAATTCCAATAATATTAACATTATCACGTACATTAAACCGATGACCAATCTTTCCTTCCCCATAGACCGTCCCAGAATTCCCTACATCCAATTCTCGTGGTTCAACCAACTCTTCTACATCGCCTAGTCCTAATCCCAATCCTATATCCATTTCTCTCGTCTTCCGTCTTTCGTTCCGCTCATCTATCCTATTCCCACTTTTCGTATCCCTCACAACAGAATACGCATCCATCTCCACTGGCTCCACATTGACACTCACATGTTTCTTCTTCGCCAGATCAACATAGGATCTCGTCGCAGCCTCTGACTCAGTGGGCAGTTGGGGTTTAAACTGACGTTCTCCATCCCACGAATCATTATCATCTGCAATTTCTTTCGTGGTGAGTTGTCTCTTTGTTTGAGGCGTGGATGCTAGATAGCGACGACGCCGGATGAGTATAAAGGCAATGGCCATAAAGAGTGTTACGCCGAGGATTATGCTGACCGAAATGCTGATTTTTATGGTGTTTGTGAGGGAATCAGAGGAATTCGATGCGGGCTGAGTGCCCATTGGTGAAGTTGAAGCTGAGGCTGCTCCACCCTTCGCTGCAGTGGGATCAGTTACCTCAGTAGGTGAACTGGTTGAGCTCGCGCCGGTGGAAGTATCCTGACTGTTGTTTGCACTGCTTGTACTGGTAGAAGACCCAGCAGATTTTTGACCGAGCGTGAATGTCGGACTGTCTACTTCAGGTTGCGTGTTATCTGAAGAAACCCAATATATCTTATAAACTCCAGCTCGAAGTGAGTTATCCGGAGTCCAAGTTAATGAATTTCCCGATGTTGCAACTGTCATTTCTATAGTCAGTTTTGTGTAAGAAATTGGTAATTCCTGGCTTGTAACATACCTCCTATTGGTACCGCGCTGGCTAGCGAAACACTTTCATTATAATATTGAACGGGTGCTAGATGGAGAGTAATGGAGCCGGTTGAATCAACCCAAGTGATCGTAAATTGCTGTCCTAATACGGGATTAAAGGCCGTGTTCGTAAATTGAAACGAACGAACTAGGCCTGCAAATACAAGCAACAGTAATTGCAAAGAAACATTGTGAAATACTCGCATAGCGAATGCTACACGGAAAAGAGATAGGGAAACAAAAGAGTGACAACAACAAAACCTGGATAATATTAAACTCAACTTGAGGTTCTTATATCTATTTACGTGCTTGGGATTCTTTGCGGCAAGGTCAAGTCAGTGTAGTATTTTAGAGCCACTTATGGCGGTGCATGAGATGACAATCCTTTACAACCATGGCTGACCACGACGCAATGGATTTATGACACGCCCTTTGCGAACCATTCAATCATTGCGAAAGAACAGAGAGTGGTGTGAGATACATCAGAATTGGGTAGCAATGAGCCGTTGAGACCATAAAAGTAACACGGGAAATTAATGGAGTGAGATTGGCAGGCTTTGCTGCTCGTTTGATCCTTTGACTCATCTCGTTACTGTAGTATGCTGGCCTAAATAGAACATTGGTGGGTGCATAAGGCTAGAATGTAAGACGCATAAATTGACGGGATTTCAGCCATAGAATTTGTGAAGTTGAATGGCACCAAGGAATAAGACATGAAGTTCGCCTTCTATAATTCCGAGCTTCATGAGTGAGCTTTTATATAAGTTTCCAGAATGGCATTCCCGCATCTATAAAGATCAGAACAACCAACTACTATGTGGTCAGATCTACAACTAATCAAAGTGCAGAGCCACGATAAAGATCCTTGAATGGTAAGATGCTTATTAACGGATTAGACTGATCAAGAGGAGTGATGAGTCAGATCAGGATTTGTTTTTACCTATGAAAATTGGATCACGTGAAATATACCCGATACACCTAACAAGTAATTCTCAGATGCTAGTTCAATAACTTGATAGTTTCAGATCAAGTCAAACAATTAAGTCCCATTCCATGATATCCACTTGGAAAATTGAGCCTGATTGTTTGAAGTCTACTTGGACATTGATCAATTCTGTCTCCGATTTGGTACCACGTGACTAGTTGAATTGAAAAGGGACTGAGAAAGAAGCAGAAGGTAAAATTGTTCTTTGATAATGCAAATTAAGCGTTGATTTTCATGCTCAGTTCTCTAAAAATTCGAGGAGAGGCCTTTGAAGGTTAGATTCTGGCAATCCATTAATATAATGATGAATTGAACGCCTGATGGGCTCTGGTGAAGTTATGAGATAAATATCAGCATGATGCTTGGATCAGGTGACTACAGTTTTCGAATTGTAACTTAGGCTGCGTTAAAGTAATATTGCAGTGGGGATTCACTCAAAGTCCTTCCAGAGACAGAACTTCTAGTCTCATGACTGTGTCAAAGCATAAGGCAGTCTTTGTAAGTATAGAACCGGTAGAAGAAGTGGACTTCCAAGTTCCGTGCCAGCTTCAGCGAGAATCTCATAGCCCAACTATTTTTTGAAGTTGTAGTATGCAATGTCGTGAGAACACCACTTCCTATTGCCAGAAACAAAGCACCCACAAGAATAAATGAATGATGATAACGAAGCTTTCCCTTTAGTACTGACCCGATAGTTCCTGCTAAGATACAATATGCAACCAGCGGATCAATACTATATCCGTATTCGGAAGGTGATTTTACACCAATCGAGAGTAGAAACGCCACACAGACTATATCGTCCGTGAAGACTTCTAACATTTGGCGGTGGTTGCGGCGCAGCCGTAGTGTTAGTGGTGGTGGAATCTTACATATTGATAAGCTCGGCCTCGCTCTATCGAAAACTCAGAAAAAGCAAGAAGAGAAGGACTTGTTCAGGATCGCATCACTAACCTTTTGGCGAAACTTTCAGAAGCCCTATTGGTCCCGCTGTTGGGTAACTCCCAAGTCTGTCTTATTCTGCATTAATTCAATGCACATGCAATAATTCTAGAAATTCGTTATCTTGGCAGTATTTGATACTTATAGGTGATGCTATACGGAGGGCCCTATTCTTCCAACAATCCCGGGAGTACCATGCAAAATTGAGCGACTCGAAGTTGTATGTATCATCTGCTGTGCCGTCTACGCTGCTCTTATCCATTGTATTCTGGGTTTAGCTCTATGAATCTAATGTTCTATATGATCTTAAACTGAAGACGACTTCACAAGAGCCTTTAAATGCATCAACTTCAGATTGTCTGTTCCATCTCAAGATATACCCTGCACATCATACTCAAGCATCATGAATCAAACGTCTCCAACATTTGAACTTGCGCCCGCGACTTGTACAGACATACCCCAACCCGCCTACATCCACGTTCTTGCTTGTCTTCCCGACAATGCGGTTGCTTTATACTTCGATAATCCAAAGGAATTCGAGCAAAGAGTGACGGAGATGCTGGAAGGTCAAGTCGTTGACCCGAATTGGCAGTAAATCAAAGCTGTTGACAAGGATACGGACGAAATTGCTGCTTAGGCCTCGTGGAATACTCCAACTGATACAGAGATCCGAGAACGAGATAAAAAGGCGAATTCGACTTCCCCCCTGGTCTGCCAATGTTTGTACAGGCCGACACCGATCGATAGGTAGAGAAATAGACTAAAGGTCAACGTCACATTCTTTGCAAAGAACCTACTTTTCAACGACGTGTTATGAGTAATGCACTCGTTGTGTATGGCAACAAATTGGCAAACAAAAAGGGGTTGCCCATCTTCATGCAAGCTTCACCTTTCGGCTTTCCACTTTATACGAAGCATGGCTCTGAAACCGTACAGTGTTTAGATGTAGATCTCAGGGAGTGAGCACCAAATGCCAAGGGTAATGATAAAGGTTATGGTAACTATAAGTTCCGCTATATGCAAAGGCTGCCGCAAACACTCCCGAAATCTATCTGAGGGCTTAAGAAGCATGACACTTCTAAAGGTATGCTTCGATACTCTCTCGTTTCATGTGAGGTGTATGTTTTCACGAAGATCACTGCTTCACGAGAGACTTCTCGCGTACTCGCATTTCTTTTACGTGAGATGGCGACGATATCGAATTGCAAGGGAAATCAACAGTAGAATAAAGTAGCTGATAGAAATCGAGAGAAAGCTTTGAAAATGGTGGATGATTGGTGAGTATATAGATATGTTTGAGCTACACTAAAATAAGTGAATTGAGCTACAAACTCGACCGAGATGATATAGCTGTGTACGGTAATCTACATCAATAAACTACATATAGACAATGAAAAGACTCATCTGAGGGTTCCCGGTGAATCAAGCAAAGAAAAAGGTCATGAACATAAGCATTAAGGGGTGCTCATCCCTCAATGCCTATCTTAGAGTCTCCGTTTCCTGACTAGAGGTGGAAGAAAAGTATTCTGTCATGCGATAGTATCAAGATGTGTAATCTTCAAAGTCCTTCTGAAAACCTTTCACTAGATCAAAGTTTGTTTCTAGACCGCTTGGTGCAGTTCCAATTTCGGTTTACATCTGCGTACATGTCTGAGCATAGCATAGGGAAACCATCGTCTTATTTATTTACCTTCACCAAACAAGTAAAGATAATTCTTGACAGGCGTAAAAATGCCTGAGTAATCTTTACCCATGTTCAAGATGGAGTTTTGATGCATCATTGGTGATATTGGACGGGATTTCAGAGGTATGCATTGAAGTGGAACAGCGATTGATGTTCAGGCAGGCATTAAAATAGACTAAGTCATGTGCGGCCGAACGCCAAGATCTCAACTGGATAACGAGGGGAGATATTTCAACAACAATTCATATTGTTATACCACGAGAGAATGATAACGTGAGAGAGTTTGAATGTACAAGGTCAATAATGCCTATGCAAGCATTCAGAACTATTCTCAGTTTAGCAGTATTTGACGCCTCACAGTAAGTTCTTTCTCGATTCAACATATATTAGTTTTGGAACGTATCAGCTCTTCCACTCGAACAACAATCACCTCGAGCATAATCGCACTCGATTACACCGCCCGCAGATACCAATTCCAAATTGAGATGGCGGCTATGAGGCTGCGCGTACAATTGCGCCAGTTCGCTTGACCTTCGACGACTTTTCCGCCCGACACGATTCTGACGAAGTAAACGCTGGGTGGACAGAACAATAGGTCCAGATACGCAAGCAAAGCCGCTGAAATGGCGGGACTCATCTCGAGAAATAACTCTGTTCTTCTGCATACTGGTGCATCCCACCCTGTCTTGTCCGTGGCTCTCGCGAGCGGGCAATGAGAATTTTCGATGATTGGGCATGCACTCACAATATTTATATGCAAAGGGTCCCCAAAGATTTACAACCAGCTTCCAATCATACTCACGGTATACCAGGGCAAAATATGAATGATCTTGGCGAGAGGATCAGAAAACTTGTGCTGGGACAGATGGATTGACATTAATAGATATCCACGATCACGATTTGGCGCAAGTTCTCATGAATGACTTTACGGTGTTCCTCATATTCTGTTACGAAGGGCCCAGACGCCACAAGGAAAGGCGATGGGAGTCTCGTATACATACTAGGTATGTATATGTGGGTGGCAGTTGCAAGAGAATGTTTATCATAGATGGCGTCCTCAGGTATACCTTTACATGTGTGGGGGAACAGGTAAGTGGAGGGAAGAAGTTGACGACTTTTTGGAACTTCCATGGCTCATATAAAAGCTTCGACTTGGTCAAGTTCATATCCGTCTTGATGGTCACCACATATAACTGTAAAAGATATCAGATTTTAAATTTTGTAGAGCCGGTCTTATCAGAATTGGCTGCCACAACATAATATTAAGCTTTTCGCATCAATCATGTATTCATCGCCGCTCAAGAAAGATCTGGCAGAGTTCAAACAAATATAGTAATCAATTAAGAACATCAAATAATTAATTCTCAATATCTTCATTGCCATTCTAATTCAATTGCCTTCACTGGAAAATTTCATGTTCCTCAAAAAAGTTAATGTTCAGGCATTCAGGCCATCACTAATAAGCGAGGGTTGAATTTCACACAAACCCTTTAGCGCCTCAAGAATATTCGAGTGGAAACTCTATCAACTTGAGAAAAATCACCGACGTCGACAACTTGTAAATTTAACCACCACCGCCAACTCCACAAATCAGCCATCGCAATCATGTCTGAAGGAGAAATCGAAGTCGAGGCCGTTTCCGGCTACCAAGTGCTCCCAAAGGAGGTCACTGAGGAGATTGGAAGCATCAAGGTACAACTCAATTACAATTTATCGATGTTTGGGAATATTGAAGCTGACAATTTGCAGCTTTTCAACAAATGGAGCTACGAGGATGTTGAGATTCGCGACATCTCTTTGACGTAAGATTACCCAATGCGAAATATATCTAGAGGAAAAAAGGATGGGAATGGAAAATGTTCGACAATTGTTTTGGATGAGGGAAATTATAGGAAGAGCCAAAGGCTAATGCGATATTTTTTCAACAGCGATTACATTCAGATCAGAGCTCCAGTCTACATCTCCCACTCCGCCGGTCGTTATGCCCAAAAGAGATTCAGAAAGGCCAACTGCCCAATCATTGAGCGTCTCACCAACTCCTTGATGATGAACGGTCGCAACAACGGAAAGAAGCTCATGGCTGTCCGCATTGTTGCCCACGCCTTCGAGATCGTACGTCCGACTACATCGTGATATTTGCAGGAAATTCTAACAATCAAAATTACAGATCCACATCATGACCGACCAAAACCCAATCCAAGTTGCCGTTGATGCTATCGTCAACTGCGGTCCTCGCGAAGATTCCACCCGTATCGGATCCGCTGGTACCGTCCGTCGTCAAGCCGTCGATGTCTCCCCTCTCCGCCGTGTCAACCAAGCCATTGCTCTCCTTACCATCGGTGCCCGTGAAGCTTCATTCAGAAACGTCAAGTCCATTGCTGAGTGCTTGGCTGAAGAATTGATCAACGCTGCCAAGGGAAGCAGCAACTCCTACGCCATCAAGAAGAAGGATGAGTTGGAACGTGTCGCCAAGAGCAATCGTTAAATGGTTATATTCGTGGATTTTCTGTGGGGTGTTTCAATTTGCATTATGGATGGATGGGCGATTGGCTGCATTTCTGTCACATAAACGACTTTTATGAATGCAAAAAGTCATGACACAACCGGAATAATGGATATTTGCATTCAGTGATTTTGTGCCATCGGTTCAAGTGCACAAATTTGTATGGGACCATGAGCCTAGGATGGCTGTAAGGGCTGATCATATGCCATCTGGTGATTCTACAGAATTTTGATACCTCCAGATACAAAAGCAAATTTGATGAACAAATCCCGCACATTCTCAAGCTTTACAAGTGACATGTACAATGATTGACAGATATTGCTAGCGAATTCGCAGCCGAGCCACTTCAGTTTTATACGTCGATATATGCTTCCAGGAAACTTTCCCTGCAGTTCCCGCTTGTACAAGGTTTCCATGGAGTTGACTTTTAAGGTTTTTATTTGATATCCTCCCAAGATTTGCTAGTGAGAGTAACACTGGATAATGCTGGCTATTTTTTCTGCTGTGCTTGGCGCGTATGGTAGTTTCAATCTAGAATTGCAGTGTCCTTCAAAGCCAAAGCACCCTCGCATTGAGAATATAGTAGTCTCAGTGCATCGGAACCACTACTGCCCACCTTTCAATTCCGCTTTTTCAATAATCGATGGTTGATGTTTAGTTCCCACGTAAAATTCCATCACCTTGCCCGTTTCGATCGGCAGGGTTCTTGGGTTGTTTGGGAAGAGGAGTACACTGTTGTTATGAGAATGAGGACATTGACGGATTGATGACTTGATGACTTGAGTGTGTGTGAAAAAGGGGATGTTTGGAAGGAGGTAGAAATTTTTATCATTGAAGTGGGTGATTATAGTTTGTACTCTCGGATTCGAATGAATGGAAATAAATGTATGATGCTTCCACAACGATTCATGAATAACCCCCCCCTTGAATAACGGTTCGGTGCGTGCTGGAAATTCTTATTTGTTTATGTTGTTGTTAATCACCAGCGTACTAGTTTGCAATCCTGCACGAATATTCAAGGTTATGGCTTGTGTTTCCATAGAGCGTTGTGGATAGTCTTGAGGGCCCATCTTTTGACTATGGTATCAATTGGGATGCTTCTCCTTCCTCTCTTTTCTTCTCTTTTCTACTGTGAAATTGTATGGTTTATATGTATACATGGTATTGTATCTCAACAACGTGTAAACAACAGCGGCCCTGCCCTTCCTCCTCCCTCCCTTCTCTACACAATATGTATTGAAAAGCTTAGCACAATCCGGAATAGTAATTTTGTCAATATTCCAGGAATCATTGCGTGGATCACTTGACCTCTAATTTCTTCATTCGCTTTAAAAATTGAAAGGCGGATTTCTCATGTCATTCTAATCAATAGTTTTGGGTTCATTGAGATGTAAAACTTGTCCGGCGGGTTTGAAGTGTGAGATGAGATGGTAGGTGGACTTCGTGGGTAGGTAGGTTATTCTTGCGTATGGATATTCATTTTTCATTTGTATGGAATATTTCCTCGGGAATATACTCTTCTGGTTCTGATATCTGTGTGACAGCTTTCCATATTCATGGAACTTTGTATGTGTTTCCATGTCGGAGATTTGAGATTATCTTGGTGTTTCGTGTCGAGTGCGAATATGATATTGTTCATCTGCAGGGAATAGTAACAAGTACCATGCAACAGGCCATGTAAATCACAGGTAACAATCCGTTCATTGCATAGGTTGGTGTACTTTCGCCTCTTGACACTCTGTGTGTTGGGCTTAAAGATATAAATCCAGAGCGAAGTGGGAATGGACTGGGAGATGTACTAGAGGCTGTGCGTGGGATTGTGAGGAATGATTTGTTTGTGTATCTGGCTTCCTTATGTAGCGGGTTAATCCAAATCTCTCTGATAGAATGACGATGCTTGGAGGAATATACATATCCTACCTAAGCATATATTGTCGGGAGAGAATAGTCGGGATTTGAAATAATTTGAATAGAATACATTAGGAACTTGATTGAGATTATCGTGGTAATTTTATTCTGGTATATACTATATCTACAACAGCGTGCAATTCGGCTGTGAAGGAATGGGTGAGTAGATATATGTGACGATGAACCAAGTGTCTTTCATAATATGTACATAGCGGGAGAGAATTGGGATAGGGGGGAAGAATCCGCTTTGTTGATTCACATTTTGAAGAGAAGTTTGGATGGGCTTTAGTGGTTCAGGCTGAGATATTTACATGTCTTTTCATGTAGCGGAGATCTTTCTTGGGTTGTTTGGCGATATTAAAGGGAACTTGGAGGAAATGGTGAGGTTATTAGGGATGTATAAAGGTAGACTGTAGGTGTTTAGTGATGAGGACTAGAGAACATTGAAGATGTGGAGGTAAGTAAGTAGGAGGTTGTGGATGGGGAAGGATGAGAGCTGAATAAACGATATTAATTAGTGTGGAGAGCAATGTAGTTATTGAAGGGGGATAAACGACTGCAAGACTTGATAGAAAGATAAATATTATGTAGACCACTGAACGATCTTCAGTTTTCCCAGAACTCATCTTGAACAACATGTCCAGATTTTCGGCGCTCAGTAACAATTCAAAAAGACAGTTCGACCTTGATCACCAGGGAACTTCATGCTCTGGAATGTAATGGCTAAGAAGGAACCTTCCATGGATCGCCATTATGAATACATCAAAATAATACCCAATTTGGACTATTAATGTTTCGCTAACGAAGCTCCATATAGAGACGCTCAAAAAAGAGAATCCATCCTGTGACTTTATCTAACCCCCATTGATTACTTCTTCAATTACTTCTCCTCTGAACCCTCTGATGTCCCTCTGAGCTTCAATCTAATTTTAGTGGTGGGCGCGCTCGAAGCACCCCCTTTCTCTGCATTAATAACATCCATCTCTTTACTTATTGATAAACCCAGTACATCTCTCCGTGCCTATGCGCATACTAATCAGCATCATTTGATATAGGTGAATACCTATCTGGGCCTTGGTAAAAATGCGCAACATACTGGGAAAATACGATTCACGTTCTTACCCGACAATTTCAACTGAAAACACCTGGAGCACGGTGAATATCTATCACAGTCTTTTCTCCGCTTGTGACACAGGAGACAAGCAGGCTAAGAACGAAACCTCATTGCAGTCTCGACAGAAGCCATTCATGGTTCTTCAGGCTCGTTGAAATTCAGGAAATCCTGTCCGGCAAAAAAGAGTCTTTTGGACAATGAGATAGAGGCAGGCAAATCTAAATCTGGTTCCAGTTCTAAGAAATTCGCAACGGCATAGGATTTATTGGACGCAGGATTGGAAGCACGAAGATCTAAATCTGCTTCATGTTCCGAGGGAGGTCTTTTCCGTAATATAGTCGGAATACAAATTCTCAGAAGTCTATCTAATTCGGGTTCATATACTTCCACTGCGCCTTCGTAGAAATTCTCATGAGGATCTGAAGAGAAAGTATCTTTCAGAAGTCCACGGAGGGGGAGTTGTAGGGGAGGATGACCGAGAAACAGAAGAGAGGCCTTCAGAATATAGTTAGAAGGATGCAATCACTTCGTTCATTTTTCAAGTCGGTTAATTGGACTAATATGCTTCTGGAAGTCATCCGTGAAAGCATTTATACCATAAAAAGGGACAGTGGGATATGGGAATGGGAGCGGAGTGATGTATGGAGGTTCTGGGACACATACAACTATACCTGTAAATGTATCTGCATCCTCAAGCGGTGCTATTCCTCTTCGAAGATATCGAGGAAAAGGCGAAATGTCTCCCAAATACTGACATATGATCTCCTGATCCGGTGGAAATAATTCAAGTGGCGGATACTTTAACTCTTGCCCTTCGTCATCCACCAAAAAGCTTTCGTAGTCACTTTCCTCCATCATGTAGTTGGGAAACTTATTCAGTATCATCGATGTGAAAGGATACCGTCATGCCATAAGTTCCAAAACAAAATAGTGCATTCAATATTGATGTTGTCGAGGACGATAAATTAATCTATATTGCTTATGATGTATCGAGTGAATATCAATATGTCTTTCCGAATGATAAATATATAACTTATTATCTCTTCGCGCTTTCTAAATTGCGGTTGGAGACTTGCACTTTCTCTTTGACCAATTTGTACGCGTGTGAATGAGATGAAAATAACGGAAATACTCTTCGCATACACATCATATAGTAACTTAATGCTCATGTCAAACTTGATAGAACTGGAGAATGCATGAATGTTATATATTCGCACCAATTTCAGATGTTCATCGTTGTTAATGAAAAAATTCAACGAGTTAACTGAATTCCACGACGCTGTGGGTTGATAAAGCTGTAAAATTTGCTTTTGATTAATTTGTAATACGACCAATAAATTAACATCCAATGTTTCCTCTCTTTCCACCTCTCTTAGTTCTGTCAATGTGTCCTTTAAGCACCCTCCTAGTATGTTGCAAACTTCTCTTCTGCTTACTTTTAGCCTTACCCAACGTCATCATGAAATTCTTCTTTCGAGATTTCTCTTGATTGGTAGTACTCTTGCCCTCGGCATCCTTCTTCGACCTCCTAATTGCCTTGGTAGACTTATGCTCGCTACGCTCACCCTTTCCTTCCCTAGCCATTGCTATCTTCTCTTCTCTTGTATTCTTCTGTAACTTCGAGAATCCTTCAATTTGATCAGCTGTCAAGGCATCATCCGCATGTCTCGCAGCTGCATCCTTCATTCGTTGAGATTGTGTCCTTCCTCCCATCGCCTTATTTACGCTAGCCTCAAGACGGAGCTCTTGAAGCTTTGCAAGATCGGCTGGAGTGAGAATTTTGGTGGTTGCATATGTGGAGATCTTATGTTTGAGGGCCTTGTCAGCAGCCTCCTTCTCGGCATCTTCTATTAGTTTTTCGGTGCCGTCCGCTAAATTTTCGGTAGCTTTAACTTCGAGCTTCGCTTTCTTCGCGGCTGGCTTTTCATCTTCACTGTCACTGATCTCAATTTCACCATCGCTCTCGACATTGATCCAACCACCCTCATCACTATCAGCATCAGATTCAACATCCCATGCATTCCAATCTTCCTCATCATCCTCTTCTTCATCCGTGCCCAATTCTTCCGGCAATCCACGTTCAACTCGTTTCCGTTTCCTTTCGTCTTCTTTCCACTGCTCAAGTAGCTCGATACCTTCGATTCCACCGGCTTCTTCCTCACCAAAGCGTCTTTCTTTGATTAGTCCAGTCTTGAGACCCATGGTCGCTGTCTTTCCTCTATCTCTCTTCTTCAACATATCAGCTCCGACCTCACGGTACAAGGACAACAATCCTTTCGCTGCCATCATTGTTCCCTTGTCTTTACTTTTTCTGTACATGATAAGATCTTGTAGAAGTGTATCGTTCATAGCTAATGGTTGTCGTACGCAAATCTCTCGAATAGCATTCAGTCCGGAAGCAGCAACCTCCGAGGCAGAAGCTTCAGAGACGAACTCATTGGCAATCTTCTGTACCAAAGGTTCTAAAGCATCAGGTGGAACAAGATTATGTGTTGCTTGAGCTAGAGATGCCAAAAATGAAGTCACTGATGGTTGTCGTGGTGTAAGGTACTTTGTAAAGTACGAGTATAATGAAATTACAGTAAGCTTGTGCAAGCCAACAAGTCGCGAAACCAATTGTAGGACAATCAATTTTTGTTCGAGGTTGAGTTTCGACTTCGAGTTTTGAAGGTGTTTTGAAAACAGGGTTTCGGCGAAACCTTGGGGATCGTGCAAGAGATGCAGGGCGGAGAAATTCAGTGGATGGGGTGCTTTGCTCTTCTTTTCCTTCCTTCGTACCTTTTCGACGGCCTTCTCCAATGTCTTCGTCTTCTTCTTTGTTTTCTTGTTGATACCAACTTGATGCTTCAGCTTACCAATATCAATGGCTTCTTCATCACTGCTTTCATCCTCCATTTCCTCTCTTTCCTTGTCACCTCCCAGGAAAAACCGTACTCCACCACCAATAACCTTCTCATTATCTGACAAACTAGCTTCCTTCATAATCTCAACAGCTTTCGCATCTGTCCAGATCTGTCGTTTCCATAATTCTCTTGTAATCTTGACAGCCCAGATTCCTTTGGAAGATGTTCGGTCTGAGGTGAGCAGATTGAACAGTGCTGTCTGTATCGTTCGATTAAGACGATGGTTGATACTTTTGGAATTCGAAGTGCGGAGGTCTGACAAGATCTTCTGGAATAGTAATGTTCGGAGTGTTTTACTGGGCGTAGCTACCAATATTGGAAACAATATATTGAGAAGGTTGGCTGAATCGATCACTTCCTTTCGTCGCAATAATACCAAACTACCAACGATCTTCTCACGCAATTCGCTTTCAAGTTCGGCATGGTGTAAAGTTAAGATCTTCTTGAGATCCTCTGGGAATTCTGCGGTATCTTCTGGGAAACAGTCGGAACAATGCGCGACGAAATCGATGAGGTCGTGAAATGATACGATGCCGCCGGATGTCGCAGTGGAAGGAGAGGACATGAAGATATCTCTTTGTGCTTGGTACTGTCCATATTGATTTAGGAAATCTTCTGCGTATGATCTGGTATACTTGTTAGATGATGATTCCACTACCCAGTGTAGAAGACATTCAACTTACTTTGGGTCTCTTCGAATCTTGTATTGTAAATTTGGACTATAGAGGTCAGCAATGATTAATAGAAATGTACCAATTGAAGTCTTACAGATCCGCATCAACCTTCTCCAAAGCACCAAGTCTCTTTTTACCCATTACGCCGGTTGGATGCTGTCTGATTTTTGAGTGTTCGAATCTGCCTCCTCACTGGATTTCACATGGGTGAGATAATTTTTTTCGTTATCATTATCTTAGCGCCAGTCGCTTAAGGGACTAGTGATAACAAGACGGCGTGTAAGGATTGATTAGTAAGGTGTCTGAATATGAAACAACTGAGGATCGCAAACTCTTCAACTACATGCCTTTCTATTGGTTCACATATTTGCCAACTCACGCTCGCCCAAGAAGTTTATATCGTTAATCACAACGACGACGTGGAATTAATCCATGATGGTTCATCTACCCTTATCAAATAACATCCAAGTGGCTACCACACCTCGTATATATTCAGTTAGCGGCCACATCAACGCGGAGCACGTAGCTAACGATGACTGCATCGATCCCCAATATTATCATGAGCCTCAGCTCGCGTCAACAATCCGAGACCTCAAGAAATTGCAGGATGGCCCCCAAATCATCCCATTGGCTTTTGATGCCAGTCTCCAGCTTCTAATGGTACCACATAAGTTTATGGTGGGTCTTTGGAGTCATTCTTTGCTACGACTATTGCGAGTAATTTCAGGATTTTGATGATGGTGATATCACGGCTCGTTTAAAAGGATCAGGTTTTGGTGAAGCTGTTGTTCAGCCATTGTCGTGCCCAAATACTATATAACTCCTACCCAGTGGCAGGTGATCAAAGAGCCCATAAGTCAATGCAAACCCTACCCCTCTTCCTTCTTTTCATGCCTCCCCTCATCTACTTATATTACTGGTAATGAATTCGCCCACAGATTGTCCATTTATTTCTGCGAAAATGTCTGATGCAGATCCATACATCCTTACAAAGCTCTCCGAGCATGTGTCACAACATCTGAACAAATCACTTGGTCAAGCCGTGGAGAATCTATCTTTGAGACTTCAGGACACGGCCAAAGACGCTATCGCTGACACCAGAGAAATCAATACTATAATTGACCAGGCGGTCAGAGAAGCCGTTGAAAAAGCATTCGAGAAGTCTGTGGTGACGGAAGTTGAGCCTTCTTCAATACAGTCAGAATTTAAATACCCACCTCCGAGAAATTCAAATTTCGTGGGCCGCTCTTCAACCCTGGCGAAACTGATTAGTCTATGGAAACCAGATCAAAAGAGTCGATTAGCAGTAGTAGGGCTTGGAGGAATAGGGTATGTTATTTCCCCTCGATAATCTCAAGGTCGAAACTCACATCCATAGCAAAACCGAGCTTATTACCGAGCTGGTCTACCAAATTAGAGAAGCATCACCCGCATCGATATATTGGTTTGGGCCAGGAAACTTGCTTGCGCCTTCTGTCGATGGACATGAACCATTAGAAAATTGGCTACGGCCAGGGCGAGACTCCGCAAGTTTGTTGGTCGTTGATGCCGGGGATAATTTCGAGTTTCTGATGCAGCACACGGAGCATGGTAGACTGATTGACAGACTACAAAGGTTCGAAGGTGCCATCATACTCATCACAAGGACTAAATCGAATGGGTGTCTCTTAAGTGGCCCCCACAATATCTTCGAAGTGGGATGTCTAGAGCTCGAACCAACAATGTGTTTATTACGAGACAGGTTGACCGTCGACCTCTTCGATAAGTCAACTGACGAGCAACTTCGCGAAATCGCCCTTCTTGTTAATTGTCTACCAAGAGCCATTGTCCAGATCTCAAACTTACTTAACGATACTTCGATGAGACTGTCGCAATTCATCTCCATATACCGAACAAATGATCAATTCAAACTACGACTGCTGAGTTCGGTAGCTCCGCTTTTTACAATATCGGAAGAAGAATCTGTTATTGGAAAGGGTGTCATGAATGCTAGACAATTTCGATCAACTTACCCTGTGGCTGCTCGTATTCTTCACCATCTATATTATCTTGGTGGCAATGCAGTACCGCGCTCTATCATCTGCTCGTTGGTTGATCCTCTTGATCTCATTGTCGTAATGTGCATTTTGAAGGGGAATTTTCTCGTTACAGAGGACGATACTAGCGAGACATATAATATTCATCCCTTAGTCTTTTTGTCGCTCAAGAAGGTCATTACCAGTGAGAGGTCAGAAGCGGATGAACGTGAGATCGAGCAAGAACTGGAATGGTACACACAAGCAGTTATTGCCTTTGGTAATCACTACCCTGACTCAAATAGCAAGGATCGAGAATGGTGGAAAACATGCTTCGAACGATTCCTTGGTGATGGAAGCAAGAACAGTGATTCTGTGCGAATTGCGCTGGCTTTGGTCTACAACAAAGAATCCAAACATCTTGTTCGCATGGGCCTATATAATGATGCTTTGAAGATGGCAACACACGCAGTTGATACCTTACCTGAAGCAATACCCCACGAACATCTTAATGTGCTTCAACATCATCTTTCGCTACTCGACCTACTAGCCAAGTATGGAGAACTTAGAGATGCTTTGCAGACGTATACTGAAGAACAGCCAGATGAGTTGTGGAAGAAGCGTGTTGAGGGCATCCTGTACTTATCAGAAGGTACCAATAAATCCGATGTCGTTGACCTCTTCCGCCAGATTCGCCGTACAAAGGAGTCCATGAATGCTCCGGAAAGTGATTTATGTACCAGCGTTGACGACTATGGGGCGGCTCTCATGCTGATTGGTAATTACCAAGCTGCTGAAATAGAATTTTCGACAGCGTTTAGGAAAAGGGCAACATTCCTAGGAACCAATCATCCCGACACTCTCATCAGTTGCCAACACCTTGCAAATGTACTACATAAGTCTGGCAGGTTTAATGATGCTCTTAGATTTGTGGAAGGTGCCATACGTGGAAGCCAGATGTCTCAAGGCGACGAGCATCCTCAAACTCAATACATCAAAAGTCTTAAAGCACGGATTCTACTGTCCAAAGCCGTTTCATTGGCCGACTACAATGAAGTTGAATCTCTTCTTACCAACGCCGCCGAAGTTCTCACTACTCATCTATCCGACTCTCATCCCCTGGTTTTGACTTGTAGGAGCAACATTGCACTAGTGATGCTAGCACAAGGCAGATATGATGAAGCTTTAACCATGAACCGTGCTGTTCTGACCGCAAGAGAACATGGTCCATGGTTAGACCGTGAGCGACACCCGGACATACTAACAAGTCGGCATCAAATTGCAGAATGTCTGAGGCTCAAAGAAGGATGTCATGCTGCTCAGAGTCTGAGTTCTCAGGTTCTGGTTGATAGAACGCAAATATACACCGAAGGAACTTTCGAAAGCGATGACTTTCATCCCGAACAGCTTACGAGTCTCCACCTTCAAGCTCTCATCCTTGCTGGCCTTGGTCAACATAGCGGAGCTCTCCACAAAATGGATCTTGTGTTGATCGGTAGAAAACGCGTTCTCGGAGAGTCACATCCAGATTACCTTAATAGTCTCACCTGCCGAGGTGAAATTATACGCGGCCAGCTGCCTCTTGAAGAAGGGCGGGGGGAGATGTTGGACACTATCGATGCGCTTCATGGAAAAGCTTTGGAGGGCCTTACTCGAGTGTTTGGTTCTCAGCATCACTGGACACTTCAGTGTCTATCCTACATGGCAGCTGCAAAGCGTGAACGCGGCGATGCATTGAGTTACACCGAAGCCGCTGGGCTGTATCGTCATATTTCACGAGCCTATGAGGGAAATATGGGTGACCTCCACCCTGAAACCGTCAGAGCGAAAGCTCATCTGGCTGAAGTGATGCATCTTTTGGGAAATCGTCCGGAAGAGACTAAAAAGGTTTTCAGAGAAGCTTGCGCTGGACTCGCGAAGGTGTTTGGGTCAGATGCTCATGCTACTATCACCGCGTATAGAGGGTATGAAAAGTTTGCGAAGGATCTTTCTGATCCTGTTTAAGGCTTTTGCAGTGTAATGATTGAGGAATTATGGAAACAGGTTGGCCAAGGATTGTTAGGAAACATATATGTTACCCACATATATGGGAATGGTAACTCAGCGTAAACTATGTTCGGGTAGGCGTTGTATTGGATCGATAGATTTTTTATGGAGCTGTTTATTGATCCTTGTCCTCTCCTCGCTGGCTCAAACTAGCAGGAGCATTTCACAGAAGCCTCGTCGAAGGCTGGAGTTAATCCACGAATTTGATGACGTTTCTTGTTATGTCTACTTTCCTTTTGTACAAATCATAAAGTCAAGTCGGATAACACAGAGTGATTTCAGAAGTCTGATATCGAATCATTCATACACGCAACCTAGTAGCATCCGTTGATGTCGAAAGATGCCATTATTGCATATTTCAAGCCTACCACCTTTAGCCTTTCTACTTCAGCCTATTTGCGTTCCTGAAATGTCTGCCAGCAAACACCCACACAAACGGGTCTGGTGCTACGCGAATCCAACCCAAGGCGCCACGTTCTATATTCTTCCAATGACCAATCATTTTTTGGGGCCTTGCTTGCAGATTTTCTCCACCATCTACATTATATTGTATATTTCATATCTGGCGGATGTTTGCTCAAATTCCTATCGGTTCTCAATTCGATTGATTCTTTCCCTTTTTGCATTACTGGCGCATTTTCCAATATGTCTATTAATTAAAAATTTCAGATACTCCCTGGTGGAACTCGTACTGTAAATATGGCACCATTAGCCTTTCCCATTTTATCTTCCCGTTCGTCTCCAAACAAAGTCGCAAATTCCACATCCCAAACTATAGAACTTTTCACTCAATCTTCTTCCGCATTCTCTACCTACACTCCTTCTCCTACTCAATTTCCCACTCCCTCAACACTGCCTCTAGAATCTTCAATCCCGACTGCGCTCCCCGATCTGATTCGTGAACAATTCTCCACTATCATAGTTGATGCCCCCACCACTACTTACACATCCTATATCGAACTCAACGATAATGCTTTTACTTATGAATCTGCTTCCCTCCCTTATTCGACTCCGATTGGTGATTCATACGCAGTGGAGACGCAGGCACCTCAACCCAACAATAGCGGTAGAGATATCGGAATAGTCATTGGCTGTATCATTGGGGTATTGATATTAGGACTGATGGGTTGGGTGTACGCGATGAAGGCGAAACGCAGTCGAAGGAAGAGGGGAAAAGGGAAAGGAAAGGAGAAGGAGATTGTGAAGGAAACGGTGAAGGTCAAGGTAAAGGTGAAAAAGAGGAAGCACAGGAAGCATAAGAAGCATAGAAAAACGGAAGCGGAAACAGCAGGGGGTTCCGGGGGTGTAGCACCGGCTGCTGGAGGTGCTTAGATGCCATTGCGTAGGGATGACAGGAGCTCTATTCTGCGAAAGTTAGTTTGGCGAACTGGGTTGCATAAGCTCAACGTTTGAGCTCTTGTTGAGCAACAATTGTACACAGAGTGGTGGATTGGGCACGAGCAAGCTCAATGCAAGTTCAAGCGATAACTTGACAATCAAATTGGGGATTGGAGAAACCGCGACTGAATGCTGATTAGTTCTGATGGGCACGGTACGGAATGATCGGGAATTTCGCAGCGCCAAATGATCTACCAGATAAATGAGTTTTCGATATATCAACTGTGCGCAATCCAGACTTGGATCTAGACCAATTGAGCTGCCTCGTTCGTTATCAATATTGTAGTCAGAAAAAATTCAAGAAAGACACACTTTACATTCCGCGCTACTGCAGGATATTGCACTAGACTCTCGGCTTGCCACATCAGGCGACGTGCCAAGAAATCATCACCATACGGATAAATGGATTTTCGGGGATTGTATATGAAATTAAGCTTTGCTGGGCGTGGCAGTGTTGAGCCTTAACCTCATAGGACATGTGGGAAAAAATGTGCTAGGGGTTACTTTGACGCACGATAGGTCATTGAATAATATGCGAACAGCTACCTATGGAATGAACAATCCCTCAAACAGTGGTTACTTCTGTCAAAGGTCTTTTGAGGACTTATTCCAAAAGCCTGTCAAATAATACTCGAACAGTTTCCATTGAATTGAACAACTCTAGAACAATGAATTTTAGAACATACAAAAAGGGACTTTCGCTTCAAACGTAAGAACGTAGTCTCAACCAAGCATTCAAGCACTCAACAAACAACCAATCAATCGATCAACTAACGCCATGAGTCATCACCAACGCCGAAAACATCACTCATCTCGCCGCCGCGAGAGTGAGAGGAGAGAGGCACGGGATCGATGGTCGTATGCCGATCCAAACCACCCAGTCGAGCTCCGCGAGATCCGCAGGGAACAAGGTCACACTCCGCGACGCAGTGAGGTAAGACCACGCAGGAGAAGAGAGGAAGAACCCTCAGGTTGTTGTATCATCATGTGAAGAATCACGTGAATGATAGAGTGAGGGGTAAATTGCCAAGCAAGCAGTAAAGTAAGTTGGGAAACAACTTGACTTTTCCAGGTGTTATTTTCCTTTGAAAGTCCTCCACAAATGATCAACAGCATCTAAATAAGTAAGTTTGAAACCTATTTTTGACTTGTGCGAGTGTTCATGATTCCAAATAAAATAAACCTCCTTGGAGATTAAAAATAATATTCTATAGTCCCTCAAAAAGTGCATATGATCGAAACCCAATGTGATAAACTTCCATTAGAATCAATTGACATGCTTCATATTCCAGACATCGTTTATAAATGACCCTAACATCGAATCAAGGGGTGCAATTCAACTATACAATTTTGACTAAACTATAACATCATGAAATATAAGCGAGGAAAGTATCCACACCCCAGTGTGTGTTTCATAGTAGTCCAGACTACCTATCTCTTTTGGGTGGTCAAAACCTTGAGGCAGGAATGTCGACCTTGGCACTACAAGTATCAACTGTTGAATGAAAGTCAGAGATCCTGTAATCTCGCGTGAGCACATTGATTAGATTCCTCTACATCGTTCGTAGATAGCGTTTCATAGTCTAGACCGTGGAGATCCGGAAAACGTGGAGGACGAATAGAGTTCTGGCTTGACGCGTGCGAGGCGTCTTCGCATGGATGCTCTTCCTGCTACGACTAGGAGAGACCGAATTGGCAATCTGACCCTTGATATATACAAGCAGCCGATCCAAAGTGCAGCCTATTTTAATGCTATGCCGTTCAATCCAGTGCTAGAAAAATCTGGCATGCGATCCGGGGTAAAGTAGTGGTGGAAAAATGTCCGACTAAAAGCGGCATTGACCCCGCAATACACTACGATTTGTTTCTTCGTATAGCCTTACCGAAGTCTGTCAAAACCTTTTACTTGGATCCTTGACTATATCCCGTTCGACGAACACTTTAAGCACTTCGATGCACCTTGTAAACAGTATCCTGCAAGGTTTGTTAAAAACGGCTTGAAGTTAAGGAGCTATCGACGATCAATGGGGGGGGTGCAAGGTGTTGAGGGGAAAAGGAGGATGGAAATAGCTCGGGAGTTAACGACGGTCCTTCGTTTCCTAGTAACGTCTTCATCAATTGGCAGAAGTCTGTAGTGCATTGAAAACCAAGAACATAAGCTGTGTCACGTTCAGATGATACTATAACTCAATTGGTTTCCCATTCTACTCCAGGTACTTGATTGGAACTCTAAATGTTGCCCGCATAGGTTATGGGAACTTGGACTGCGGGGTAAACTTAAAGTGTTTTGGTTACGACGGCAGATCGCATTTCCCCGCGTCGACCACATTTTCTAGATTCTAAATGTGCTACTCGAACGTCTGATGGTGTCCACCTCTCCTTGTGCTTGCTTGGGAAAGCGTCTCAAACTGCACCCCTAGATTTGCGCATCAATCACAATTGTCGACCATCAAGCCGGCATCGTCATGGTAAGACAAGATGAGGGGTAGCGACATTAGCTATGGATTAGTTGCTCTTGTTTTGCTGCTCCCTCTATCCATGGACCTTCAGAGGACTAATAATCGCCGATTGAGTATGCAATGTTACCACATACAAGGCGGAGAGATAGCTGATGCTACACGAAGCTTCTGTTCTTGTTAATCCGGGCATCCGGAGCCAAGGGGTACGAGAGACTGAGAGTAGAAAAGGTTGCGTATCTCCTCTTCTTTGTGGAATTCTCAAACAACTTCACAAGTTGCAAGTAACAACCAAAATTGAGAGAATTTCAATAAGACAGTGAACATGACGATCCCAGATGAGTTCGATATCATCGTCTGTGGTGGTGGAAGCACCGGTTGTGTGATTGCTGGCAGGTATGTCGATGTTATCCTGGATATCTACACTCATCAGCTCGGTACTGAACAGTCCGCAGACTTGCAAACCTTGACCACAATCTCCAAGTTCTCCTCATTGAAGCTGGAGAGAGTAATCTCAATAACCCATGGGTGTTTCGACCAGGAATCTGTAAGCCTTATGCTATATATCTTTAATTGCATTTAACTAATAGCTATAGACCCCAAGAACATGAAACTCGATAGTAAGACAGCATCATTCTACTATTCCCGACCTTCAGAATGGCTTGCCGGTCGTAAAGCTGTTGTTCCATGTGCACATATTCTCGGCGGAGGATCCTCTATAAACTTCATGATGTATACACGGGCGTCTGCTTCCGACTACGACGACTTTCAAGCCCAAGGATGGTCTACAAAAGAACTCATTCCTTTGATGAGAAAACATGAAACATACCAGCGGGCATGCAACAACAGGTTGGTGAATATATCTTCTGCCAATTCATATCTCTGACACTTTCAGGGACCTTCACGGCTTTGATGGACCCATCAAAGTATCATTTGGAAACTACACTTATCCAATTACTCACGACTTTTTACGTGCTGCCGAATCTCAAGGCATCCCAACAACTGATGACTTACAAGACCTGGTTACTGCACAGTAAGTTCTAATCGCCTTACGTTATTCCTATACTTACAAGAACATCAGTGGTGCCGAACACTGGCTGAAGTGGATCAATCGAGATGTAAGTACACCTTTCTTTCAAAGGAATCATAAATCTTACATAATGTTTAGACAGGTCGACGTAGCGATGCCGCCCACGCCTACGTTCATTCCACTAGATCCGTACATTCAAACCTTCATCTCATGTGTAACACCAAAGTAGACAAGATTATCATCGAGAATGGTCGAGCTGTCGGTGTAAAGACTGTGCCAACGAAGCCTCTTCACCCAAATGTAAGTTATTCTGGAGAAATCGATTGAAGCTCTCTGACATCAAATCCCAATAGCAACGTTCACGCACATTCCGTGCACGAAAGCAAATCGTCGTTTCAGGTGGCACGCTCTCATCACCTTTGATTTTGCAAAGAAGTGGCGTCGGAGACCCAAAGAAATTGGAGAAGGTTGGTGTCAAGCCTATTGTCGATCTACCTGGTGTTGGCCAGAACTTCCAAGATCATTATCTGACATTCTCTGGTATTTACCCTTCCTTAAATCTTCAATGCTATCCATCCATGCTAATACTTATCAGTTTACCGTGCTAAGCCCGGAACTGAAAGTTTTGATGATTTTGCTAGAGGTGTCCCCGAAGTTCAAAAGGCTGTCTTTGATGAATGGAATCTCAAGGGTACCGGCCCACTTGCCACGAACGGTATTGACGCCGGTGTCAAAATTCGTCCAACTGAAGAGGAATTGAACGAGATGGACAGTTGGCCAACACCCCATTTCAGATCGGGCTGGGATAGCTACTTCAAGAACAAACCTGACAAGCCAGTTATGCACTACTCGGTCATTTCTGGCTGGTTTGGTGATCACATGTTGATGTAAGTTTCCCATGATAAATCTCACGAGAATAGACTGACTAATTTTTAGGCCACCTGGAAACTTCTTCACGATGTTCCACTTCCTCGAATATCCATTCTCTCGTGGTGAAACTCATATCGTTTCTCCAGATCCATATGAGGCACCAGATTTCGACGCTGGTTTCATGAATGATAAAAGAGACATGGCACCAATGGTTTGGGGATATATCAAATCTCGTAAGTGTCTCTCCTTCATTTAGTTTATCTTTGACAATAGAGCCCTATACTAATGATCCAACAGGTGAAACTGCCCGTCGTATGGACGCCTATGCAGGAGAGGTCCAGAACATGCATCCATTCTACGCATATGACTCCCCAGCTCGAGCTAAAGATATGGACTTGTTGACGACCAATGCGTATGCTCTTCCAGGCAATGTTACTGCGGGTATTCAACACGGTTCTGTAAGTTCTCTTGCCCATACTCAATGCCTGTGGCACTAGATCTTCGAAAGCTGACGAAAAATAGTGGGCAATGCCTATCGAACCAGGAAAGCCACCACAAATTTCCTACCTAAACAGTAACAAGCGAGATCTGCAAGAAGATCTCAAGTACAGCAAAAAAGATATCGAGCATATCGAAGAATGGGTAAAGAGACATGTAGAGACAACTTGGCATTCTCTTGGTGTAAGTCACTACTCACAAAGTGTTATATGAAAATTTACCTAACTCAAATCTAGACATGTTCCATGGCACCCCGCGAAGGAAACTCCATTGTCAAACATGGTGTCCTTGACGCACGTCTTAATGTCCATGGCGTCAAGGGCCTCAAGGTCGCTGATCTTTCTATCTGCCCTGATAATGTTGGATGTAACACTTGTATGTCTCCCCACCTAGCTAACCAAATTAACATTAACTAACTTGCGATAGTCTCAACTGCTCTTCTCATCGGAGAGAAATGCTCTGTGCTAGTCGCCGAAGATCTCGGCTATAGTGGCAAGTCACTTGACATGAAGGTACCCAACTATCATGCTCCGGGTGAGCTCAGCGGTATTGCCACTTCGCGTCTTTAGTTTCGTTCTTTGATGGATGTGTGGATATGAGGGATGGACTATAAATTTCAGCCGTTCTTTTTAATGCTGCCACTCATTCAAGGTTAATAGGGTTTTGGGTTATCTTATGTCAATATATGTTAGTGTAGTTACGATTTAATGAACATTTGGATCTTTGATCAGAGGCCGAGTCTCCAAGTTTCTTATCATGATATTTCAACAGTTCAATACCTGTTATCCCAAATCAATTCTCAATTATAGCATATTCCCACCTAATTATTTCCTCATGCCTCGATGACCTAGAGGCATGCTGATCTCAAGCGCCAGCACTAATGGTTCCAACATCCGCTGTTTCTTTCAACCTATCCGCTAGCATATCATCCAAAGGCTTCAACGCATCATCCAGACTCTTGGTATTCGAGTTCTCAAGAACAGATTTACCAGCTGTCATTACTAGACGTTCGGGGGGCTGGCTCTTGGAGATACGACATTACGCGTGCACGATGGGCGGCACGAAATAACTAGTGTTGATATATCAGCACATAATCCTCGCAAGCAGAAAGAACTGGGTGAACATTGATGATAAACAAGAAATATACACACCTTCAACTGACTAACCATCTTTGCGAACTCCTCTTCAATCTCCCTCTCTCCCTTCTCCCTTGCTCCCCTCACAAAACTATATTTCTTTAGCACCAAGCACAATTCTCTTTGTCTCACGGGTATATATCTCTTCATATTCTTATCCGTCAAATATCTCCCCATTCCCAAAAATGCATCTAGCGCCTGGAAAAACAAGACATGGTTTCCAGAACGTCCATCATATTTCACATATTCCCCATTGACGATTCTTCCCACGCCCCAACCTTAGAATCCCTGAATGTAGGAAAGCCAGACGGAACGAGAGACACGGGATTTGGTGAGATTTTCGTAGAAGACGAGGAAGAGGTCGCGGAGACGTGTGTTCATGGTGCGAAGGTGGGGGAGACAAGCCATGGGGGAAGAAGAGTTGTAAGCTAGAATTGAGAGTACCATTTCGTGGTAGATAGGGAAAGCCTGGGAGAGTCAGTAGTGCTACATTGAAAGATTGGGATGGAGAGTGGAACTTACAACAACTTCAAGATCATAAAACATTTGGAAGAAGACTTCCTCGGATGATCGGATCAAATCGGACATTCCGACGTTGATCCTATAAATTCTTTCTCCTCTCGTATTGAAGTTTAGTAGGACATTAGATGTATTGTTTCCTGCATCAGCGTCTACACCGAAGTTTCGCTGAAAATATGGCCACAGTGCGTTCAGTTCAGATGGGAACTCTACAATTTTCTCTAATTGTGCTACTTTGACCACAGGAATGGTTGCCCATCTGAGTTCCCCTTAGCATATGTTCGCTTATTGAATGAATAGAACATACCTGTATGCATGACGAAAAACAGCAACACAGCAATAAAACCCATTATATGCGTCTCTGGGAAAGATATCCCAGTTGCCAGCTTCAACTGCAGCCATGATGGCCACAACTTGGGGAACGTTGATCCGCTCCATCAACGACTTCCGCATCATAGATCGATATTTTTCGCGTCTTTCATTATTTATATCACCATCTAGCGAAGGTGGAGCAGCAGAAAGAAGGGGAATGAGTTGGAAGTAAATTTCTTTGTACGGCCGAAGCGCCATGGGCCATGAATCATGATTTGCATTTGGTGGCCAAGCTCCTGCGCCATCCTCATCAACTAGTCTTGACATAGCGGCGGTCACTTCATGTTGATCTCGTAGATTTCTCAAAGCTTGATATTTTGAGACATTCTCGTTCTCGTCGATCTTTTCCTTTACTTTGGTTTGGATTGGAACTATCACTGGTGTCGGGACTTTAGCTCGCGTGCTGCAGATTCTGATCAAACTTGCCGAAGCAAAAGCTAGAGTAGACGCTAGAGCACCAATGAAGAAGATCAATTCAAGCATCCTGCAGAAGGTTATCATGGAAACTCCGTTGTTGAATATTGGAGTATCCTTATTGAAATGAGTTTCGAGTAAGGTAATATCAGAACAAAATTAGAACAAGATTTGTTAGAGAAGGGCTGAAGATTAATGTGATTCCGGTTTAGTCTACAGAGTCTAGTTCTTATAGTGGTCTACAAGCCTCATCTTGCACGATTGATATAATATTCGCATAAGCCCTTTTATTGACGACGGTTACGTGTAACTGCAAATCCTTTTTTTGGTTGGGTCGAGGAGAGAGAAATGCCTCAATGAACACAACATGAATATGGCTGAAAATTCCAGTAGAACAGCACAGCCTTCACGGGAGAACTCGTACATCTATCCATTGATCGTAGTAGGTTTCCCGCAAACCGGCGAAAAGGTTCGTCGTTATGGCAACGTTAGCCAATACCATTTCTCAACTGAAACGTGACATATCGCAGGCTTCTCTTAGAAACTTAAGATAACACGATAACCCTAAGAGTAAGCTTGTTTTGGGCCCTCGTTTTGACTGCCAGGACTCCACGTTGAGGCAAGAGCTGTTAAAATTAATAATGTCATTCCTGATACCCCAAGTAAAGAGGTAAGCATGGTCCATATTCATAGTAGGTTTCATCCCACATGTGCCGAGTGTCACTCTATGATCTGATTTGCTCACTCGTGAGAGTAGAATCCTTTGATATGTTACAAGCAGGGGGGAGCTGCCTCCATGGTTTCTTAAGTGGAAAAACTTAGCCAACGGATTCAAGCACCCCTGACATATGCATTGAAGGAATCTCGGCTTATGCCTGACCTCAGGGCTCGAAGGGTGCTAATATCACCATAGTAACTATTGCAACAATAAGAAGAGACGCCAAAATATGTTGTGTGTCATAGCCCTTTCTGGGCGAAACAAACGCCAACCAAGAGTGTACAGGTAAAAGCCTCAAATTAGCTTTTTACTATACCCAAAGCTCCAAGGACAAATTGATTCTAGGTGACATCACCTGTACAGCTTCCTCATCTGTTGCACTGGAAAATATTGGTCCCGTATGGGCCGTATAGGTAGGATAGCAGTTTCGATCACTTACCAAAACCCAATTTTTTTATCGACAAATGATTCCTCACTGGGAAACAACCAGACTGAACAACGCACTCAGATTTGCTCCGGGCCAGGATATATACTTGAAATGATGCCCGCAAAAATGAATCTCACTCAGAAGTTCTCGTGTGAGATTTGAGAACTGACTTCGGGTCCGTAGAGAGCAGAAACCCGCACGAATGAATAGTTTGCAAGTGTAGGGTCAGCAATTACAGAAAAGAGTACGCGTCACACATGGAAAACAAAAGATACTCGGCCAAGAGTGAGATGAGATCCTTCGAACAATCCATCTACTGGTCGAAGTGCGAAGTTATCATTTTCATCGGTGCCACGTTGCCGATCATTTCTAGATTGCTTCCAGTGACATCCTGTTATCTTGAGGGTTGATCGACCGCATGATTTTCTATATTTATGTCAAGGTGTGAGAGGTAGGCGCAAGTTCTGGGTGGAACAAGGGATGAAAGATAGATCCCAGACAGCATTCAGGCAATGGATCTGGTAGGTACCGAGAATTGAGCCTCTTCAGACATGACAATGTAAGCTTGTTTGCGTCAGTATTCCGACACTTTGCATGAATGAGACATGGTACATGCACTAGAAACCACACGTCTCAGCCCTACGTTATGACTACACCTGCTCCACCGATGAAAATCGGCTGACAGGTAACATCTCCCAAAGAAAGAGCAGTTAATAATGACTTCTAGAACACTCTTTTTAACGCCTTCGAACCCCAAGTAAACAAAGCTCAACTCCGCGTCCTTTTCATCGTGGCGGGCTATAGCAATTTTCCCACCCCCTTCATCATTTCAATTTGGGTCGGATAGTTATATTGATCCTAATCAGGGTTGTAGTTCCACAACTGCGCTAACCGAATATGCAAGTAATGGGCTCAAGCCGCAATTGGGTCATCAGAGGGATTTGTTTTGTGGTGGAATTGGCTGGACAGTGGTTAAAATGTTGATGACTACCGATATGTTGGATCTCGATAAATTATGGCCCGACACCAGAGGAACCATCAAATAAGCCAGTGTGAGTAGCCTGCAATTCTATTTGGAGGCGGAAGATAATGCGAGAAAGATACGAGAAGAATCCTGCTCAACATCTAAGCTCTAGTTTGTTATACTACTCTTCAAAATTCAGCCACATCTGAAGCCTAGTGAATTACTTATCACCATTAAGATGTGAATTCATACACCGTGTAAGTATGATGGATCTTAAAACAAGAGGTTTATTTTAGCCGTTCTTGAAAGAAGCTAGTGTGACGATACAAGCTACGCACACTAAAAGTTAGTAGCTGTACAGCTAAGCAGCCTGATGACACTGAAAATTTTAAATTCCCTACATTAACATGATTCACAACGGAAAGATGTGATTATGGAAATATTTTTGTCTTCAAGTATTCTGTGGCTATGGCTTTCTTGCGATAGTGACGGTATACTTCTGGTACAAGCCCTCCTCAGAATTGATGTCATGAAGACATGCTCTGGTCAGCGTCTCCAATTTCTCTCCACTTATGCCAATAGCTCCAAGCATTTTGCGAAGTAACTCCGGATACTGTGGTATCAATTTAGCTTGGACATATCTCGCCATTGCTTGACTTTTAGGCGTTTTGCTTGACGCCGAAAATGAAAACTCAAAACCTTGAAAATTGATCACCTTCAAACCACAATCTCTCATTAGTGCTGCTGCTCCAGAACCAGAAACTGTTGATAATCCAGACTTTTGAGCCCCGGATAAGATTGCTTTGTGCCACTCCCAGTCGTCGCTAACACACTCTGAGGTCCCGGCGCGATAGAATTTCCAGTCTAAATCCTGATGCTCAATTATGCCACCAGACCTCAACGCATATGACGTGGTTGAAAAGTACTTTGGCCAATTGTTAATACCCAAGAAAAGCATGCGACCGAAGATATAATCCATTCCTTTTGGTTTGAATATCTCGCGGCTTAGAACACCATTATCGGGTTGGTTGTAGTCAACATCCAATGCATTTCCTTGAGCCCAAACCACATTGCCCGGTGCCATTTTCTTTGACTCCTCTGGGACTGGGGTCAGGTCGAGACCGTAAATGGTGGCAGATGGCAAGATTGTAGCAATCTGGATGGTGGCTACACCAGTACCACAGCCAACACTAGACCACCCAAAAATCAGCATTTGCATAGCTTTTTTGGTGACACTGTGAATGACTGGGGCATACTTCAGTAATTGTGCGACTGAGTCCCTCAATCGGCTCGTTTGTAATTTAAAACCTGATTATACTTACTCAGCCACCTTAGAGATATCATCCAGGGTTTGCAATGGAGCTAAGATAGGGAAGCCACCAATCATCTCGACAATGGCAGCTGCCTGAGTATCGAGTCGATCCTGTTCAATGACACTTCGGTGATTATATTAGTAGAGCTTTCAGTGATTAAAGACGATGAGCCTACTCATTTGCTTTTGGGAGCACATAAGCCGCGCTCGTGTCATGATATCGCTGTTGGCTGTCAACTTTAACTGTTGTCATGTTGAAAATGCGATGAGTAGTATATTGGGAAATTGGTAATTGATCAGTAAATTGAAATGAAATCAGTTGCGTTCAGGATTGCTCGTTTTGCAAGACACATCTTGTCCTATTGTATTTGAAAGAGTTGGAGTTGATACTCGAGGCTCCTCCCACGGCGAGCGTGATGAGATAGGACTGCATCCTTGCCGTGTACGATTCATGACAAGCTGATCACCGTGTATGCCAGACTTGGATGCCGTTTGATTCATTCAGGAATGTGGAAGGTCTGCGAATTGCTTGGCATGAGGTTCTAGGAGATAGTACACTAAGACTATTCAAGGTTAGCTTAAAAATGTCCTCGGCATCCCACATATCGCCAGACCATTCCAAAAATTCACCAGTGTGAGAACATGCAAATAATGTTTGAAATCATGGCGACAAAACCCCCTCGGCTCAACATTAGAAAGAATCTGTATCTGTCGTGTGAGGTAATCAGGTATTGCTGCAGCTACATTGATTAGCTATGAATAGATAGGTAAGATATGCATATTTGCCTACATTTCGAGAAGTCCAAGTTCATCGTCTCTATACTGTGCAAATGAACAATTCTTCTTAATGACTGTCTGATCTGAATTCATACAACTACGGCGCAAAGAGTTTGCCAGCTGCTCTATTCTTTAATGGACCACAACTCTTCGCCAATTATTGAGCGCCTCGCCGGCGAGGATACCATCATGATGTCCTCCCGTCCACCACCTGCTTCAGAAGAGGATCACAACAAGGAAAGCTATACCATTTCTCCTTTGAGTGATGCATTTCTCGAAAATGGTAGTAGTACACCACCAAAAATCAAAATGCCCAGTCTGCTAAGACAGAATGTCTTCATGGTTTTTATCACCTTAACCCAACTAGTTCAAATGATCCCTCTGGGAGCCGGTATTAATTCTAGTTTTGCTATCGGAGCAGCATTGGGAGCAACAGAAGCACAGTCGGTTTGGATAGTTGCTTCGTACCCTTTAACTCAAGGAACTTTCGTTTTGATTGGTAAGATCATCCATCAGATCGCATTTTTGTGCAAACAATTGGCATGAGGATAGCTGACATGTCCTTAATTTAAAGGAGGTCGTCTAGGTGCAGTCTATGGCCACAAGAACGTCTTCACCGCTGGTTGTGTTTGGTGGACTCTCTGGGCATTGTGCGGTGGATTTTCCGATAGCTTGATATCGATGTGTATCATGAGAGGATTATGTGGAATAGGCGGTGGTCTGATGATACCAAACATTGTGGCATTACTAGGTATCACTTTCCCACCTGGAAAGAAGCGAAATTTGAGTTTTGCTTTATTTGGCGCTATGGCACCGGTTGGCGCTGCTGGTGGGTCTCTTGTTGGTGCGGTCATTATTCAACTGTCAGATTGGAAATGGCTTTTCTTTATGCTGTGAGCTGCCTTGGTATAATTCATGAGTCTCATTTACTGATAGCAATTAGTGGTCTACTTGGATTTGTTGTTTACGGAGTTGCAATTATGCCAGTTGATGCGGATACTCCCATTGATCCAAAGGGCACTGTGGACTGGGTTGGCTCTTACTTGGGAGTCGCTGCTCTCATCCTGTTTAATTTTGTCTCGAAGTATGTTGTGGAAGCTCGTGAATATAATTATAAGGAAGAAGCTAAAATGTTCACAGTCAAGCACCACTCGTTGGATGGAACAGTCCTTACGAGATCGCACTTCTTATTGTGTCTGTCCTTCATTTTGCTGGATTCGTATACTGGGAAATGAAAGTCGCCAAAGAACCAATTCTTCCATTCAACATATGGAAGGCCCCCTCATTCGGACTTTTGATGTTGACCGTTTTCTTCTCTTTCATGAGCCTGGGTATCTTTTTTTGGTACATGAATGCATACATGCAAAACATTCGTGGAGACAGTCTCATTCTTACTGGTGTGCAGTACTTGCCACTTACTATAGTTGGATGTGCAACCGCTTTTCTCGCAGCTTGGCTTGTTCCTCGAGTACCGGCGCAGGTCATCATTGGTCTGGGATGTTCGGCAATGGTCATTATCAACGTCCTCCTCTCGACTATTCCTGCAAATCTCACTTACTGGGCGATGGCATTTCCCGCAATGTTCATATCGGCTTTTACCATTGATCTGATCACCACCAGCGCTCAGATAATCGCATGTAACACTGTTTCAATGAAGCATCAAGGTGTGGCAGGTTCATTAATAGGTACACTCCTTGGTTATGGGTTGAGCACTGGTTTGGGTATCGCTGGAACCATAGAGGTGAACACCAATGACAATGGGAATAATCTTCTCAGGGGTTACCATAGTGCCACATACTTGGGAGTCGGTTTAGCGAGTGCTGCCCTCATCATTAGCGTTATATTCATACGTATACCTAAAGATACCCGGGAAGGCTGGGCAGAGGACGACACACATGCCAGAGAGAGAGGTCAATTGTAAGGGAAGAAACTGATAGATAATGGCTTTTTCGAGGATAAATACAAATTGTTTTTTGGCTTTTTAATATCTCAGTGTTCTGACAGTTGTATTGTCTGATTGGTGAAACAGCAGCACAGTTAGCTGAAGCTTCGACCAGGGGGTCATCAATCAAGAAAGTCCCTTACGCCTAAATTTGATGTACATTCCGTCCGCAAACATCAATCTTGAAATAAGGACGAAGAATCTTGTGTTAAGTTTTTCTTTTCTTAGTCAACCCGCTAGGAAAATGGTTTTCTGTATGATTCAATACTCTAGCAAACGGTTTGATTCAGCATCCGTATGGATATGTCACTTGATGATCGCGCACATTCACTTTCATAATAAATGTCTACTATCAGAGTCAACACAGACAATAGTATCTTTTAAAATTCAATCGCAAGCCTATAGCTCTGAAGTATGCTTATACGGTGAAAGCTTCATTTCAAACTTCAGCAGCGCGTCTACTACTTGCCTATTGAATTGATATCCATTAGTAGTCAAACAAAAACTTGCTTCCATGCTCCGCTCTCTCCCAAACAGAACTCTAGAAGTTCTCAACGGAATACGGCTGTAAATTTATGCCCTTAATTTTGCCCTGCGCTGTCAAAACACTGCTTACATTCTTCAATGCATTCTCATGAAAAACGGCGAAATCTGTTCCACATCATTAGAATCTTATACATACATAAATAAACACTTTGGGACTGGCATACTCCTCGTGTGTCCTGTCTCACAGGCATAGATACTCCATCTTATAGCCGTTTCATATTTGAAAATATAAGTACTCTCCAAAGTAACCCAATATCCACTGAAAGAGCCGTTGCCAGAATAATACGCCACTGGGACGGTGGAGGCAAGTTGCTCGAACTTTTCAACAAATCCTCCTCGAGAGTCGATCTTGAGGTCTGTCAACTATAGAGGACAATGTTAGAATATCCCCAAACTAATGCCAGTCGGTTGTAAAACTTGGTGATCAATATGGGCATATGTACCTTTTCTGAAATACTGTATATCCCTACTTTCGTTGGCAAATAAGAAGTGCGAATGGAAACACCAGGCTTATTTTCCGGACCACAGGTTTCATAGGGAACGACTCCGAGCCAAGCGGAGTTATAATCTTGTTGGAGAATACATCAGTATCAAATCTATTAACACAAGAGTCATCACTCACAATCCATGATTAGACCCTTAACATCGTTTGCACTGGCTCCAACTACAGACCACGTTGAAGATTCCCAGTAATCTGTACCAGCAGGACATATACATGGTAGGACCGAGTTGGTTGAGCAGCGTGGAGAATACTCTCTTCCGTGCGAGTATTACGCTTGATACACTGGTCGATTTTGGAATTTTGGCACCGAAACAGAAAATCAGTAGTCTAATTTCGACGATCGATGGACCTTTTTGTTATGCTTATCTTTAGGTATTTTGGTTGATGCCGATTCTACGCGGGGGCAGCGTTCATTGTGTGGCTATGGAAGTACCCGTTTTCTAATGACTTTTAGATTCCTCTCATAGTTTCATGCAGGCTTATATAGAATGCTTTGATGATCTCATCTATACATCTAGATAGAATTGAATCAGTAAGCGATACAACAGTTTTGTCATCTACCCCAAGAATTAAACAATTTCGAAAGATCTATGAGTGGTCAGTCTGCTCTAGACGATGGATTCACGAAAAGCGTGCAGATTCACAGAGAACAATGTATCGCTCGCAAGTGATTGATGGTCTACTTGAAGAAATTTACTAAATCAGCGTCGAATTATGAGACTATGCAACTTTACCGCTTCCGCATGTTTGCATAAGCAAACATTAGAAGTAACAGTCTGTCTATGCCAAACTCTTAATCAATTCCTCCAATTCATGCTCACTCAATTGTTTTATTCCCAAGAGTTCATTGTCCAATTTATGATAGGCCTCGAAATGCGATCCATATCCCTCACCCCAGATCGCAGCAATGATGAATGGCATGGCGAAATTTTGCGGGTCTGGCTGTGGTTTCTTCAATTCTTCCCATGCACCGGCTACGATATCATCAACTGACGCAACATTCTCGGTCCAACCATCTGATCCTAAGACCTTCTTTCCAATCTCCGCGAGATTTTTGAGGGTAGTTGCGTAACTTTGAATATAGACCGCACGATTCTTTGTCTCTTCTAGGTGCTTAAGTATACCAACTACAGCTCGCCCGACGTCTGGGAGTGTGGTGGCACTGAAAGTTCGATTACCACCATCATAAAGTGTGATGCTTTTTCCCTTCGCGCTCATAACGAATCCAACTGACAAGCCCCAATCAAGAAATGCACCATTCGCCACTAGAGTGTATGAAAACTCGCTAGAAACATGCTTCTTGAGAGCATTCTGGACAGCAATTTTAGGTTGGAAAACTGGCAAGGCGCCAGTATTTTCTCTAGATGTATCGGATCCAAACTCGGAAGGAATGAAGCGTTTAACGTGAGCTTTAACTGCTGCTTCAACGAGAAGAATCTGTTTGTCTAAACTGGCTGAGGCGAGAGTGGATACAACGGCATCCTGTCCTGTAAGAGCATTGGTGAGTGATTTGAGGGAGTCGTAGTCGACTTCCTTGACTGTAACAGGAGATGGAAATTTGTGAGTGCTCGATTGTCGGGTAAGAACAGTGACTTGGAAGCCGGCTTTAATAAGTTGATCAAGAATTGCTGGGCCAAGATTTCCAGATGCCTATATAGATGTTAGGGACAGCCCATCAGAGAAAATGGATAAGTACTTGCTCCTGCCAACGCTACTTTCGTGATTCCAGACATCTTGTGTATTTGTAAAAGTTTTATGGGTTGTTTATGTTATTGTTACTGAAATGTAAACTAAGATAATTTGTTTGATGGTGGTTTAGCCTAGGAGGAAATAGGCTTGTATAGGTAATATATAGCTATCGTAGAAACAGTTCATCTCGGTGTATAATGAGGGATGAGCTGCCCGATGACAAACCGCCCTCACGGCAACAATAGATTCGGTCTACAACATCGCCATTATTTGTAAGCAGATTCCGATGGCGCAACTTGAATATGAACATTGCGCAATTATGCGGGTCATCCCACATGCCACCGGCCACTATTCACCCCTTGCTTTAGCCCACGGAAAGAGGCAGTGAGCGAACGCTTGGCAATCTTAGGAAACTCCAAGTAACGAGTGGGCCAATGGAGTAGAAGAACGGTAGATTGATTATGTGAGGCTGTAGGCTTACTAGATAGATCCATACGCGAGAAGCACCAGCCACAAATGGGGGATGCGAGCGTTAGATGTGGCTAGTGATAACTTACATAATCTTCCGCACCCTTTCCGGCCCTACACGCGTCTTGTCTTCATGAGCAAGCAATCACACTCTTCTTAACTCAGATTAGCACTTTCTTTGATACTCTGATAGATCAAATCTCAAATATGCATGGGTTCGCAACATCATTTCGATGTGCTTCTTCTCAGCCAAATCTTTGACGATGCAGAATTTCATACTTCCCACTGTGAAAATCACAGTTCTCTCGCTTTCGTATTCCAATACAGAGCTTGGCTAATCAGCAGTGCATGTCGGCTCATTCACCAATTGGTGGATGTCTTACTCCTCTTTGAACTTCACACTTTATATTCTTTCCATTTACTTCTTTACATCTATTCCAATCCACCGGCAACAACTTGTGTACAACAAGATGGCACAGACTTCTCCCACTGCATTTGTCACCCCACAAGCAGGAGATGCATTATCTCCAACTCGTATACAACCAATAGCAAAACGCATCAAATGCAATGTGTCTGAATGCGGAAAGCTCTTCAGTCGCAAAGAACACCTTACTCGGCACATGAAGTCACATGATCCCACCCTTCAACACGAATGTTCTGTGTGTGGTCGGCGATATGCTCGAAGGTAATTCAGCCCTTCAATCATTCGGAAGAGTAAACTGAACTTTGCTTACAATTCGCTCAGTGACGTATTGAAGAGGCATCTAGATCATCATGCTCAGAATTCAAGCACTAAACGTACAATGGTCGCATGCACATCCTGCCATGAACGGAAGCTCAAATGTGATGACACATCACCTTCTCGATCATGCATTCGCACATCAACAGAATGTAGCAGATCGGTTGATGGAGGGAAGAATCGTACGAGAGTCGATAGCGTGGGCGTGAATGAGACTATCATAGGGAACAGCGTGGTCAATGCTCACAATTCGCATCAGGACTCTGATCTTTCACATGTCTGGTTCCAATCTGAATATCCAACGTTATCTTTACCTCCATGTTCCGATGCGACCCTTGAGCTATTGTTTCAAAGTCAGGTTATCCCCAGCGACGAATTTTCTTGGGGTCAACAGCACTCTGCAGCAGGCAATCTTACAGATTTGCTCCATATACCTCTGTCTGACGATGCTTCAGTCTCTCTGCCTGCTCTCAATGATCCACACAAGTCTCGGATGAATGCAACGTATTATGATACCGAATCTAGTGATAGAGCCAGGTCAACATTTGCATCACAATCACCGTTATCATCATTATCCTCTGAGCAAGATCATTTATCGGAATTACGTAGAAAATTGAGTCAAGATCAAGGTCATCTGAATCAGCTTCTCGAAGTTTATTTCGACAAAATCCATCCATCCTGGCCCATTTTACATGCTCCAACATTCAATCCTCAAAGTGTTTCCCCGATCTTGCTAGGCTCCATGCTAATGCTTGCGAATTGGTTGGATAAAAGTCAGAAGCATGAACAACTTGCGTCGGCTGTATTTGAAGCAATATTAGCTGCCCGATTAGTAATTTATACCCCCTGAGAATCGATTTGTACCATCTCTTACCTAGATTTACAGGAAGTTCATCTTTCACTCGATAAGGAGATTGATCAATCGTCGCTCCAAAATCTCCAAGGTCTTCTTTTGTGTGTTGTGTACACAATTTCTCTTTTGGTGAGTTGCATTTTCAAGAGTGAGAATTTACATTATTTTCAGTTCACTACTGATAGCATGATAGACTACCAATGGAATGTCGTCGAGAGCTGTTTATCTTAATGGTGCATTGATTTCAACATGTCGTCATGCTGGGATCTTCAATGGACAGAACGCATATTATGAGCTGGGTGATTATCCGTTTGATCTTTGGCTGGTCCAAGAACAACTTCACAGGTACCAATATTCTCATGTATTCTGGGTCAGTCTTCTACACCGTATGCTGACAACAACTAGACTTGCTTTTTCAAGTCTGAGAGTAGATGCTTATCTGAGCGTCCTTATGGATTATCCGCCTTCTGTTCGTTATCAGGAGATCAGCATTCCCCTTCCAAAGTCTACAAAGCTATGGACTGCGGCAACCGACGAAGAAAGGCGAAAACTTCAATGGCATGAACCTGTAGGTCGCGAGAAAGCCTTGTTCTGCTTTCTTATGCGCGATCTTATTGATGCTAACGAGAACCAGTCAGTCTCATATCATCTCACTGATAATGACTATCATCTCGGACTTTGTTCCCTACAGATTGGGACTTGGGAAACGGCTCGCGAGGCTTTCTGTTGTTGTGATTCAGATGAGCTGATAACGGATCCAAAAAGAAGCGACCCAGTCCATCGATGGGGCTCTCAGCTCAATCTTTGGCGTACAATAATGGAAGATTATGCTCAATTGCACCCAGAGATCAACTCTACTGAATCCAATGATGATTACATATTTCCACAACTAAACCTCATACTATGGCATATATCCGCCCTCACAGTTCATGCACCCCTAAAGCTCTTACAGCGACAAGGATGTTGCTTCAAATGTCGTCCTGGAGCCGGTTCGACTACACTAAGAACAAGAGCGCGTCTAAGTAGCTGGATGTCTTCGCCACACCCCCGTACCGCCCTTTGGAATGCTAGTCAAATATGTCGGCTAGCAGAAAATAACTTCTCGAATCGTTCATCTAATATTGACCCTTTGCTCAACCCGCTTGCAATACCTGGAATTTTGAAGAGTGCGATCGCTGTTTGCTCTTATACATATCACATTCGTGCCTGTTTCGGATGCACTAGTGTTTCAGGAAATTCGATCGATCTATTCAATGCATCTCACAAAGATGAAAAATTGAGGAATTGGACGGAGCACGGAATTGGAATGGCTACCTGGGGTACAGAAGCAATTCCAGTGTGCTATTGTAGATTCAAGGAATTGGAAATGTGGTTTCGGGAGAGGTTTGCAAGAGATCCAGGTGCTGATACACAATTCACTTCATTCCTCGCTGGTTTGGGTGAATGAAGTTTATAGTTCTTTTACACTATAACAGCAGCTTTTCATACTCTTATCATCAGGAAGGAAGGAGTTAAAAATACTGTGGGCGCACGAGATTATAATCTTATCTACTTTGGGCCGTATTCTCAAGGGAAAGATTAGAACGTGTTGGTATTTCACCCCATCTCGAGTGGCATGCTCAAGCGGGGGAAGGAAAGGGTCTAGAACGGATACCTCAAACCAAGAGCGGTGCATTTGGGCTGCAAATCAAGAACGAAAATGTCTCGACTCAAATGAGCATCATGTAAAGTTCGGAGCTGGAGTTAAATTAAGATATGACTAATTGTACAAACTATTTTTGACAAAGGAGTAGAATAGTCTAATGTTTTGGGGATGAGATGGTTTCAATATTTTGTTTAGTCTTAACAACTCTGCGTATTCGCATCGTCTTGAGTTTGTTTTAGATGACAGGAAAATAGAGTGACCATGGAGGGAGACCAGCCTAATAATTGACTGAATACTTCACTTCATAGGAAATCAGTCTCTTGAGAAAGATGTGTTAGTCACCACTGAAGATACTTGAGTTGGGAAATGAATCGTAGACATGATTTTCGCAGTTGTCGTTCTGTCTGATCTCGTCATCTGTACCACTCATCACGAAAAGTAACATTCGTGGCAGGTCTGTTTTCAAGGTGAACATGATAGAAATCTTCAGCCAACCTCATCGGTGTCTTACACTCGACATAGAGAATGAAAGCAGAAAATTGAGGCGCCTAAATTGTGGCTTTACAAGTGTTGCTCCTATCAATTACCCCGTGCTTACTGGAATGCAGCGCGAAATCTCGGTTTCGTCTATCTACACCTCGTGATTGGCGTCGAGCAAAACATGGCTTGCAGAAAAGGAGGCTAGGTTTCTTAATTCTCCCACACCGTGAGCACTGCCTCCACGGGACAAACGCACATCTAATACTGCACATTATGGAAGAAATCATGTCGGCCTCGGACAAGATCTTAACTGTGTTTCTAATTTCAAGAGTATACTTCTGATGCTACCACAATGATGGCAATTCACTATTCGAATTTTATTCTCAAAGCAGTAATTGCGTACTTTTTGTAAACGGTTATAGATGCTGCCAACGTCAATATAACCGGCTCCACAAATGGGCCTATTGGCACGCATAACTGCGATCCAAGTGTTCACTGCTCAGAAACCCGGTGGTACGATGTGACATTTCTCTATCTCGGCAATTAGTAAGACGCACAGCAATTCTCTTAATGCTGAGCTAAGTATTCTCTAGTACTATTCACGCAGCAACTGTTCGCTCCCTTCCGGGAGAGAGTGCATGGGCATCTGCCGCGTATAAGGCTTGCTGTCTGTTAGTTCCTTAAACAGGAGTCCGCCGAAGTTTTAATATATTTTTGAGAGCCAGTATGTTGGCAAAGTCACCTCTCCAAATGGCAGCACGAGCGAATACATTATGCATGGTTGTACGGTCGTAAGATTGGAGACCGAGATGTGGGGATTCAATTAATGGATGTGCACTTAATGCAGCGATTTTCAATGATGACTGTCATAATTCCTGTGGACTTGGTTTCCTTGACAAGAGCATAACGATGGGAGTTATGAAGATGATAGATGTTGACGTAACCGATACAATCAAATACTCTACATACCATGAACCCCCGCGAGATGCCCCACAAGCTAGAGCTCCGTATGTGCACTATGCACCAAAGTCACAATAAGCTCAGTTGGGATTCTTCATGCTCCAATCTTACCGTTTTCGGGCGATGTCTCTGGATCAGCAACTGATACGTGTAGGTGATATTCAACTACATGGCCTTTGCCAACTACTTCCAGGTCATACGCTTTGTTTTGTACCACCACACATGGCTATTAATCCTCGTCATACTGTTTCTAGTGTCGGGTACTCCATGGCCACATCTTCTCAATTCTCTGCATTGCAGGTACTATGGTCGATTGCTCAAATATGTATAGGGTCGTGTACATTGTATCAATCAAATGGTTCACAATTAAATATTTACGGATACGTCGCCTTCGGGTTGACGGTAACACCCTATGTTATTGCTATTATCATCAATCTGCTAGCAAGCTTGGTCAGTAGGCAAAACGACAATATCTTCCTTCATCGATCAGGGATGAAGCAAATAATCGCGGTGCAGTTGTGGATGGAGTAGTTGGATCTATCGACCGAGTGGAAGCTGAAGACGAAAACATAACTAGCGATAATCAGTTAGGCAAGCTCGGTGACTAGGCTATTGTGTTCAAGGGAAACATGAACATAAAAGGACGATTCACTTGCGATTCGCAAGTGAATTGCGAAGTAGGCACAGCTGAAGATCTACCAAAATACACACTCATTCCTCTAGAAAACGCTCCTTGTACACCGCCAACTAGGACCAAAAAACTGAAAAAATATCTCCTAGATATATTTGAAGACCCTGCCAAAATTGACAAGCGTCTGGTCTCTGAAATCCAAGCTCAGAAGAAAGGAAAATATATACTCAGCATACCCTCCCATGGTCCCTTCACGCGCCTATACCCAACTAATCTCGAACCTCTTTCTCTCTTCCTCGCCTCCCTAATTCTCGTCACTGCCGTCGCAGCTCCCTACACTATAATTTACGTTCTCACTGGCTGGCAAAAGAGACAAGCAACTTCCACCCAGATCAATTTCGCTCTTCACTGGCTATGTCTGGGACAATCAAGCGGATTATTTATCGCGGAATTTGCAAGATATACTAGGAGTTATTGGGGATGGATACTACGTTTTGTAGTGGTTTGTTATAGCTGGGTACCGATTGGGGAGTTGGTTGTTGTGGCGCAGGAAATGTATGAGTTTGGGCATTGTGAGTCTTTATAAAGTGTTTGGAGTTGTTTTACGACTTGCAAATAGATCAGATGAGAGTATTTGGAATCGTGAGGAAATCAAGGTTCGTCTGTTTGTGAGATCATACCTAGGTTGTTCATTCCTAGTGAATTCTGCTATCGGCATTTGCGAACCGATATCAATTAATTATCTACGTCTACAAATGTTTGAATGAGCGGTGTTTCATTTAAGTCGACGATTCAAATTTCTCTGCAGTGATTTCATTTTCATGTACAAATGCTTTGGCGGTTGATTCTGAGGCTCGAAATTCAAGGGATAGGATCTACAATGTGAACACAGCATACCTGATTCCGTCTCATTACGGCTGCTCAATCACTATTCAAGCATCATGCCGTATGTTTGATCTTAACATTTGTACGGATGATGAGGGATCTATAGATATGTCTCCTACACCGAACTACGAAAGTGTAACACTTCAAGAACAACTCTCACATGCGTCGAGAACGCAGAACAACAAACTAGCCAGACCAATAATCATCAGTAGACTCCAATCAAACACCAAAAATGTGCAATCCGGTCATCTACCTCTGCCACCATCTTCCCACCGCCCTAAATCCTACTCCATGGTTGAGCTGTTCCACGCACCCCACCCAATATCGCCGCAACAGAATCATCCCTAAGAGCTTTGCTTGTAAACCCGCACCAGGAACCATCGTTGTACGGCGTCCACCCGTTCACATGTTTTGTCAGAGATGTAGTGATAAGTGGAGATTAGGAGGATTGTATGAGAAAGAAGCTACGAAGAGCATTGCGAGAGTGGATAGGGCGTTGGCGGGAACAGAATTTCAGTTGACGAAAGAAGATATTCAAGAGGGCTTGAGGAAGGCAGATGAGTTGTTTGGGCGTGAAGGATTCTAGCTTCAAGGCCGAAGTGAAGGGTGGTTTGAGGGGTTGTGGGGTTTGCTCTGAGGAGTTAGTGGATGGATGGGTTATGAGAGGTGGTGGGACAATATAACGTCATATCGGTGTATAAGCGACGTTTAGATCTACAAGCAGCCAATACTACATCCGAGGTTAGCCACGAACAATAAATCTCGAGATCAGTTGACTGGATATATTCTAGATATATTGTCAAACGATCGTCTTACTAGGATGTTCTACAAGCACTTGGTATCCAAGCTAGCGGACTATGGAGCAAAGAGTCATTTTCAACGGAGGTTCATCATGGAGGGAAGTGACGGAGAATGATTGTTTGGGACTTTTCATCCTTACATTGAGATTTTCAAGAAAGGGAAGAGTCAATATCCTACTCCATTCTTGAGCTTCGGCTTAGAAGGCACTGCTTCTCGTGAAGGAATATTGGATGGAGCAGCATAGAGATACAATGTATCTGAATAGTCTGAAAGTCTTTCATCCATGTTTCCTAGTCCTCGTGAAGGTATTTCAATTGTATTGATGGGTTAGAATATATCTTTCCCTTATCAACATACTCAATTTTCCATTACAGTTCCAAATTTTTCGATGTCTACCGCTCGGTGAGGAAACCACAACTTTTATTTCCAACTACATGACGTGAGCCTTTGGATTCCAGCTCTCAAATGAAACGATTAATACTCCTAGCTTCTGCATTCAAGTCAATTGATACGATATTGATTCAATCCTTCATGTCACTTCAGATAATGAAGATTCAATCATTCATATCAATGCAATCAATGAACATTCAGTCATTCATATCAAGTCAAACAATGAAAGTTCAATCATCCAGGTCAATTTGTACCATGGATGAACATTCATCCAACTCGATCCAGAGATTGCCTCTCTATTTACCCATAAACGACCCATAAATACTCGATTTCAACTCATTATCAGAAATTTAAGCACCCTCTCTACACCTCAAGACTTTGTACCATAAAATCTCGGCTTCGGCGGCTTCGGAATCTCCTTGATTTCCATAACCTTGTCTCTGCACCACGGATCCGGACAAGGACAATCCACCCATTTCTCCTCATGCGTCGGATTCGCCACCTTCTTTTCCCACGCCTCCTGTTTCTCCTTGATTTTCTTACACTTTTCACAATCCGGATCCGTACATTCGTACTCGATGTATATTTTATGACAACGATGGGCATCTTCCACACATGCCATAAGACCGCAGCGTCCATTACATTTAACCATTTCATGTTCGCGTGAGCAGTGTTTCGAGCGACGCGGACAGATTACCCATTTAGGTGTTCCTTTAGGATGGTCTTTTTCTGTTTCTTTTTTCTTGGTGGGAGATTTGGATTTGGAGGGTTTGTGCTTACGATAATGGAAAACTATACCTTCTGATGATTCATCGTCGTAGGAGGAATCGGAAGGTTTATAACATGACCTTTTTCTTCTCCCACCACGATAACGATGATACGGATAGTCCTTCTCTTTTTCCATCATCTCTAAATGTACTCTTTCCGCCTCTTTTCTTTCCCTTTTTGCTGCTTCTTTATTTCCCTTCTGAACTACTTTTCTCCACTCCCTACTCATGAGATTCTCATCGATGCCTAACCCAGAAAGATCTCGGATACTTTGGTGATACCAATCTTCGATTGGTTTTGAGACTTTCCAATCCCGGAAACTATGGCGTGTGCGATAATGCTCTTCGACCATTGTCATGAGACGTTGCAGGAAAAGAACAAATTTAAATTGGTCTTTTTGTGGTTCGAGAGGAAGGTGAAGGTTCCAGAGTCGTAGAGTTTCATCGCGGGACTGATGATGGTGTGAATGATGGGAGGAAGGGAGGGAATCTTGTCGTAAGTAGACGTGTCCGAAGAAGGGCCATTTGTCGCTGAGTGAGGGGTTAGTGATGAAGATATAGAGATGATGGGGGAGGTGGGTGCAAGTGGGAATGAGAATGGAAATGGAAGACTTGCCTAGCGGGATCGGGTAGAACAACCATGATTACAGATTAAGTAGGTGTCGAGTGACTGGTTCTTTTTAGTGAAGATTGAGGGAAAGAAACGATCGTACAGAACAGAATGAACGAATTATTGCCAAAAGTATGCTGATGAAGTATATCTATAATGCTGCCTATTATATTTGCTAAAATAAATTTTCGTGAACAACAAATTAATTGGAGGTGAAATTAATACATACAACGACCAGTACTACTACGCATACTTTTTCCTTCAATTTTCCCCGCAGCGAAGTTCTAGAATAAGAGCAATTCTTCACTCTTGAAAAGAAAATAAAAGTGGCAACTAATGACACTATGAATAAATATGAAAAGCCATGCGACCCATTGTCTCGATTACCAAATGGTCAATATAGGTCTCTCGATGATTCATCCGGCCTAAAAAAACTGAATTAAAAACTGTTCGAGAGCAAGAATTCAGAAATGGACGATTTCCGTATCCATAACGTAAGTCATGGCGTAATGCGTCTAATTGTGGGGGACCACCCCATCAAAAAAGCAACAATTCAACAATGGTCCGTCGAAAAAGTTTAAGAGTGCAGGAAATGGAATCTCGACTTTCTGAAGCAGTATTAGGAGTTCAAAATGGAAAGTATAAGTCTTTATATGAAGCTGCAAAAGAACTGGGGCTTTCTAAAGATACTGTGACGCGACGCGTCAAAGGGGGTTCATCGCGTTCTGAAGCACGTCAATCGCAACAGAAACTTTCTGCTGTACAAGAGAATGTACTTCTTAAGTGGATAAAGCAATTGACAATTAGCGGCTATTCACCAGGCCATCAGTTGTTAAAAGAATTGGCTGAGGAGTTACGTTCAAAACGGACTTATAATTTGGATTGCCCCTCATTTGACTCCCTTGAACTCCCACCACAACACCTTCTTGGTCATGAATGGGTTCCACGATTTATCAAACGACATCCTCATCTTACAGTTGTTATTGGCCGTCGAATTGAATCTGTAAGAATGGATGGTGCAACCAGGGAAACATGTAGTACTTGGTTTGACGCGTATCAAAAAGCGATTCAGGATTATGGAATTGAGAAGAAAGACGAATATAATATGGATGAATCTGGACATTCAATTGGGACAATGGAATCAACTCGAATTATTATCGATTCTACACTTCGTACAAAACATCAAGCACATCCAGGCCGTCAAGAGTGGATTTCAATGGTAGAGTGTATTTGTGCGGATGGATCCATTCTTCCACCACTCGGGATTTTTAAAGGTAAAAATGTCCTTCAAAATTGGATTCCGAAGGAAGTTCTTGGTAGCTGGTTCTTTTCAGCAAATACAAAGGGCTGGACAAGCAATCTTCATGGATTAGAATGGCTAAAACGCGTTTTCGAACCTGCAACTCGTGCAAAAGCAGGTGGCAAATATCGGCTTCTCATCTGCGATGGCCACGATTCTCATATTAGTGGAAGCTTTATAGCTCACTGCCTTCAAAATCGAATTGTACTTCTTATACTTCCTCCTCATACCTCGCATTTGCTTCAGCCACTTGATGTTGCGGTTTTCGGTCCATTGAAAAAACGGCTCACCGCAGCACTTTCTGATTTGAATCAAGCTCAACTTGTACGAATACAAAAGATTGAATGGATGGAGGCATATATTAAAGCTCGAGCCGACGTATGCCATCATCAAAATATCGAATCGGCATGGCGGGGAGCTGGGTTACATCCATTTAATCCACAGAGAGTGTTCCGTACACTGGGTCGAGAGTTTACCCCCGAAGTCGAAATATCCAAAGAACCAACCCAATTTGATATTTTTAACCAAGTCTTCGTCAATAGCTCACCCCCGGATGTAGCAATCTTACAAACAGCAAATAACCTTTTAAATTCAACAATTGAAAATGATACGACTCTTTCAACCCCGGTTCGTCAATACATTCGAAAATTGACGATTGGGAGTGAGCAACTTCGAGCTCAAAGTATTGTTCACCAACACGATGCGAATAATTTACGAGCTATTATGAAGAAACGTACGATACGTAAGAAAGGAAAGAGACTAGTTTTGAAGGGTCATTTTCATATTTCTACGCAAGAATTATGTGATGCAGTAGTGGAAGTCGAAAAAGCTACTAAGGTACAGACAATGAAAAAAGGAAAAGGGAAAGGGAAAGTAATTGAATATGAAACTGAAACTGAAGAGGATATTGGAGAAGAAGTTGAAGATGAATCTGAAAGTGATACTGGAGATTGTATTATAAGTCAACTACCCCACTTTCCGACCACCCCCTGTTTCCGACCACCCCCTGTTTCCGACCACCTAAAAAATTCATATTATCTACACTTAAAACTTTAATAACTCAATAACTATTGAACTTCAATGAAATCGCCTGTAGAATCACTTTCTATAGCACTAGAGCTATCATCTACCTCATCTTCACGATCTCCAGCTTCAATTTGTGTACGCCTTATAGCTCTAATCCCTGCGAACTTCGAATTTGGAGATACCACAACCTTTCGCCTTTTTCTAGGTAATGCTTCATCTAATTGATATTCTAGCTTTCTAATCTTATTCTCTGCCTCTAAGAGTTCATAATCCTTAGCATCGAATCCTTTTATAATCTTGCGAAATAGTAATCTTCGTGTTGGCAAATCGATCTCCTTCTCTTGAATCATTATATCTCTATATTTTCTGATATCGGCTCCTTTTTGAGGGGTTTTCCATTGAATAAACGATGAATATATATTCCATTGAAGAATAGGATCATCATCAGATTCAGGATTAAGTGATAAAACCTCTCTATTGCTATTTTCAAGCAAAAGTCGACTCATAAGAGGTTTAGCCATATTTTTGGGCCAAAGACCACTAGCTTGCCACCCAGACTTGATATTTTGAATAGTTAAACCTTCTATTCTAGCCTTCTGATAGCAAGAAAGGAAATTGCGCTTTCCAATTGGTGAGGAATCGGATAATAGACTTAATTTATTAAGTTCGATTCGATATGCACTTTTTAGGGGTGAGAACACAGATAAATCGAGTGGTTGTAGTACGTGTGACGTATGTGGTGGGAGAAGTAAGAGATATATGTTGTTATTAAAGCATTCTAACATAAATGCTGTAGTTTCATGGCTTCCGTGTCCGTCCAAAATGAGGAGTCTTGAATTTTCCGGCTGAATAGGGGTAGTTTGAGGGATATAGATCTTTTTCAGCCATTCTAAAGCTGTAGCATCTGTAGTCCATCCATTTTCTGTAGCGGTAAAGTTCCAACCCTTGAATAGAGTCAAATCTGTTGGAAACCATTGTTGTTGAACTGATTTTCCCTTATATATTACAAGGGGAGTAATGCTTTTTCCATTGGCTGAAATGCATTCTATAAAAGAGGTCCAAATTCGAGATCCAGGTTGCTTTTTTTGAATAAATCTTCGATCAGTGCTTCCTACTACTAGTCCATTAAGACCCTGACCCTCCATTATACCTGCTTCATCCATATTCCATCTGTTGGCCGGCTTAATAGCCTTGATTTCAGGGATTGCGAGGTTCCGGAACCACTTCTTAATAATATCAGATGTAGCACCTGAAACTCGTGCAGAATCGATTTGATGTTGCTTCTTAGTTCCAATATTAGGATGCCTTCGAAAAAAGCTATGTATCCATTTCTTTCCAAGTGAGGGATCCTCCCCTCGTACAATAAGGTGCTCTGCCATCTCTCTGATTTGACGATGTGTAGGGCTAGTACCAAGAGCTTCCTGTACTAATATCCATTCTGCTAGTCGATTCTCCTGAATTGGAGATAACTTTTGAAGTATTTGGGCGCCTTTTTGATGCGAAACTCCACCATATATTCGATCGTGAAGTGTGGTACGTGGAACACCATAATCCAAGCTAGCTCTTCGTATGCTTGCTCCATTTGTAATCGCTCTAAGAGCCTCTGCGATATCTTCTTCGGTATATCTATTCTTCATATCACAATTATAATAATATCAAAATTTCAAATCAATTGATTAAAGCATTGTTGAGTTATTCAAAGTATAAATTTTATAATTACTCAAAGCGGTGTGGTTTTTGAGGTGGTCGAAAAGAGGGGGTGGTCGGAAAGTGGGGTAGTTGACTTAGTTGATTGTTGAGTAATTGAGATTTTAATAGAGTGGTTCCCCGCAATTAGACGCATTACGCCATGACTTACGTTAATCGGCTTTGAAAATTTGGCGAGGGGGTCGAATAGGAGGCCGACAGTGTTGGTTTGAGTAACCCGCAAGTAGCCTACTTGTATGTAGAAGAAGAAGAAAATTGCCGAAATCAAGCTTTTCTTCTCGAAACAACGTCTATCACGATTGTATTCGCTCAGTATAAACACAAAATCAATTCCGTCTCTTTTACCCACCCAGCCATCCACAAGGATGAAGATGAAGTAAGTTCCATGCATTAAATTGACTAACTAACATCTAGAAAGATGGGTTAATAGATATGAATTGCCATGCAACTTGAGTTGGCCATCAATTCAACCCCAAGGCACCGGCCTGAACAAAAGAAATTCAATGGCGACTGAACCTAAGATCAAACACTTGAAGTACCTCTGAACCATTTTGGAACATCTCTATCCTCTTTATGGATTTCCTCCAACTTTTTTGAGGCTGTGTCGCTGTATGATATTATCAGCAATCTTTCCACAGAATGATAAACTCTCAAACCAAACACAAGAATTCATTTGACCGGAAACTTTGATATTTACGAACTCAATGAAA